CTAAGTAAAGTTAATATCTTTTTTTATAAAAGTAACTAGTAGAGTAATAATCTTTAAGAAGTCTTAAATAAACTAGTAGTAAAAGTTACTAAATCTAATAAACGCTTATACATTAGTTAAGTAAAATAGAGTATTCTATTTTTAGATTATTTAGATCTTCTTTAGATCTATATAGATACTTTTGCGTTCTATAATAACGCTAAGAAATATTATCTCTTTTTTAAAGAATTTACACTTCTAGATTTTAGTGTATAACTTAGCTTTTTATAGAGTAGTAAGTACTAGTTATAAGTAGTTCTTATATTCTTCTTAGGTTTAGCTATAAATTAGAATATTATCTAGGTAAGTAGTATAGAAAATATCTAAGTATTCTCTTAGAGTATTATTAATAAATCTCTAAAAAGTAGCTAGTACTCTTAATAAGCTAAATAGTATTACTAAGCTCTTATATAGGCTAAATTAAGTTTAGAACATAGTTAAATACTTCTAGTCTTTCTTTATACGTATATTATTAAAGGTAGTAATAATATTAATCTTAGAGAAGTACTTTATTTCTTTTAAATTATTTAGACTTTTCTTTATAAGTAAAAGTAGGTAGTAGTCTTTTATAAATATATTATTTAACCTCTAGTAGTCTATATAGAACTAGAGGCCTCTATTAGATTTCTTAATAAATAAAATAAGTAAAGTAGTAAGTAAAGAGCTTAGCTAAATAAACCTCTTCTAGAGATTCTCTTTAAGCTATTTCTTTAAAGCTTTAAGTTCTTCTTAGAATATTAGGTATAGTAGTCTAAAGAGTAGAGTCTTACTCTTTAGTAAGTAAATATTATAGTTATATAAGTAGTATAGTAGAAGCTTCTCTACCTTCTTAGGTAAAAAGATATTCTAAAAGTCTCTTATCTTAGGTAGTAGCAGAGTTTTAGAGTTTAGTAGTTTAGTTTAGTTAGCTTAGAATAAATAAAAGTTAATCTATTTAATAGTAACTATAAATATATAGTAGTTTCTTTACGTATACATAGTATAGGCTTTAAGTAATACTTTTATAATATCTTAGTTCTATAGCAGTTTTAGGTAGTTTAGTAAATTAATAGAGTAGAACTTAAGTAAGACTTAGTATAGAGTGTAGATTTTATTTAGTTTCTCTAGAATATTATAGTATCTCTAGTAGTATTTACTTTTAAACATTAGAGTATAGCTAGTAAAGCTAATTCTTAGATTATACTATTTTAGCTAAAGTATTCTAAGAATTATAGAGTAGTGCGCTAGCTATATTATATTTAGGTAGATAGTTTCTGTATAGTCTTCTATCTTTATAGTAGCTTTAATATAGTGCGTAATAGTACTCTACTCTAATAAGTCTCTATTAAATATTATAATACTAAAAAGATTCTTTAGTTTTTATAAAGGTAGCTTATAGCTTTTAGCCTAGCTTTAGTCTATAAACCTCTTACTCTCTATACTAGAGTTTATTATTATATATATTAGTATTATTTTCTCTTCTATCTCTAGTAAGATAGATAGAATTATTATATTAGACTTTTAGTTACTTTTCTTATATACTAAGAGTCTCTTAATAAATACTTTAAAGAGGTAAACTAAGAGCTACTAGCTTTAGTTATATAACTTTAGAGCTTAAATATAACTTAGTTTAGACTTATTCTATTTAATAGATAGCTTAGGCTAAATAGTAAGCTAGCTATTTAGTAAGTAGAAGAATGTAGAGAGCTAATAGAGTAAGTAATCTAGAGTAAGAATATATAAAGAGACTAGTAAGTAGTAGAAAGACTAAAGAATTAGTAAAGTATAAAGAGGTAGATATTAAGTTCTAAGTAGTGCACTACTTAATAGCTCTTTAAGCTATAGTAAAAATACTTACTTTTCTCTTAGTAGCTATTTAGTATAGAGGTCTTTTATAAGCTAAGGTCTATAAGTTTATATATAAGTATAGTATTTAGCGCTACTAAGTAGAAAGAGTTTACTTATCTATTCTACGTATCTAAGCTAGAAGTAAGCTTTATAGTAGAGGTATAGCTTACTAAAAGAGTTCTAATAAGTAAGGCCTAGTAGTTATAGGCAACCTACTACTAGTACTATTAGTAATAGTTATTAAGCTTCTATAAGTAGCTAGTATAAGTAGAGAACTTTTAAAATAGAGCTAAGTTATAAAGTAGTATATTTTATAATTTCTAGAATATTTCTTAAAATAGTAAGAGTATAAGTATACTTTTTAGTATATCTCTCTCTAGAGCTAGTTACTAAAATTTAGAGAAGTAGGTACTAAAATTAAAGTTTTTCTACTATAGTTAGAAAAGCTTATTTTAAGTATTCTAGGTATAATCTAGGTCTCTAAACGCTTACTCTAAGTATTCTAGTATTTATAGGTAGTTAATAAACTAAGAGATACTATATTAGATCTTAAGTAGTATTAGCGCGTACGCGCTGCCTATAAGGTAGCCTATAATATAAGTTATTTAGTTAGTAGCTAATAAGAAATAGTTAGCGTTTACATTTATTTTACTATATATTTATTAAATAAACTACTAAAAGTTACTATAAGTTCTATTAAACTTCTTTAGGTTAAGTATCTTCTTACTAAGGCTAGTAGTTCTAGAATATAAAGAAGTAGTAAGTATAAGTAGTTTTATTAGGTTATTTATATAAGCTTTAGCTATAGCTTAAAGAGGTAGAGTAGTAGCTTTATAAAGAGTCTATATAGTAGAGCTTATAGTAGTAGTAAAGTAAGACTTCTTAACTTTAAGCTAAGTAATCTACTTCTAGTTAGTAGTAAGTTACTTCTTCTAGTAGTAGATAATTCTATTACGCTTAGTAATAGAGATCTAAAGTTCTTACTTAGTAGCGCGCGTATTACTTAAGTAGTTTTTAAAGCTTTATAAGTACTAATAATTATTATATAAGTATAGTAGCTAGAAATTAGAGTCTCTCTATATTTTAGCTATAAAGGCTTTAGCTAAGTCTAGAGTTATAAAAGGTTTAAAGTAATCTATAGTAGGCTTTATAGAGATAGGCACCTATAAGTAGAAGCTACGTAATATTATAAAGGTAGTAAGTAGAGAAAAATAAGTGTATATAATTAGTATATTTACTATATATTACTAATAGTATAGAGTTAGGCTAAAATAAAAACATAGCTTAAAGAGCTTCTAACAGAACGCGTCTACGCAGGAATTTTAGTATTATAGATTTTAAGTAAGCTAGCTAGCTACCTAAAATCTATGTAGCTAATTAGAGTACAGCGCAGCTCTTAGCGCTTCTTACTAGCTACTACTATAATAAGTAAAATAGCAAAGTGTATTAGTAAAAAAGAGAAAAAGATAAGTTATTATTATTATTATTATTATTAGTATTTACGTAGTTATACCTATATTATAATAACGTAATAGATTATAAACCTAAATACTAAGTACTAAGTACTAAGTAATAAGTAAATACTACTACTTCTATATACCTAAAACTATAGTAATAAAGCTATAGTAGCTAGTACTATAATATTATTAGTAACTTTACTTTAATACTTTAGTAAATTATATACTATTTTTAAGCGTCTAAAATAAAAGTAAAAATATATTAAGTGTATATAAGCGCTTTACTAGTCTAAGTAACTTACTATTTTTTTAGCTATAAAAATAATTAATATATAAAGTAAAAAAGTAGATAAACTTTTATTAAAGAGAGAAGTTAAAGTATATAGCGTTAAATAAGTTTACCTAAGCTAAGCTTATTATAAAAGCTAAGTACTTAGTATTATTTTAAGAAAGATTTTAATTACTTATTATTATAATAAAGAAAAGAAAAAAGTAGTAATAAAAAGTACTCTTTTTATAAAAGCTTTAAGCTTTAACTTTAGTTCTATATAAGCTATTATAAAACTTATTAAAACTACTTATTACGTATTTATTATAGAGTTATTCTTAGCTACTATAGTTAAATATAGAAATAACTATTCTAATAAATAGCTTTAGTAAACTATAGTTATTAACTTACTAACTTACTAATGTATACACCTAAAGTTTCTTATAAAAAGACTTTAAATTTAAGCGCGAGCCTACAAGGATAGAAGAGTAAGATGCCGTTACTTGACTTTGAGTCCAGGTGACGGCACTCCACAGCGCGCTAAAAGGCTTAGCGCGGAAGAGGCGCCCCCGCAGTCCACGCGAGCCTTACAACTGATCTGATCAAGACTCCCGACGTCACGAAGACACCTCAGATGTTTGAGTAGCGGGCCTCGCGACACTTTCTTCATGAGCGAATTTCTTGTGTCCTTCCTGTTGTTGACCGCGATGGTGTCTTGGCCGTCACGGGGGCATCCTCCTAGCCAGGCCGCCCGCAAATATGACGATCGCACTCGGGGTCCGCAGGCACACCTGGGCAGCGCGCATCTATTGGCAGGCATGCGTGCACCGAGCGGAAAGTGTGGCGATGCACTCCAGGAAGAGTATTCGCCCAACTGAGCACTACCCCGGACCCTCCCTTGGTGGTGGCCGGACTTCCGGTCCTGGCCACGATTTGTCGATCCGTCATTTCCTAGCGAGATGCTAGCATCCAAACAAACAACATGCTTTTTTGTATCGTGTACGCGCCGATGTACAACCCTCGCCGGGATGTCTGGTTTGTTGCAGTATAAATGGGTCAATCCTGCAGGTACCTGGCCCAGACCGGTTTGCTGCATGACAACTGTTATTCCCCACATTCACTTCAACGGAGGGAATAATACTACCGTTCGTCGCGTCATTGTGCTTTAGCAATGAATACCCTCCCCAGGTAGACATCAGGTGGCCCAACACAGGCCGAAAAGAGCATATTGTGGGTCAAGCGGTGACTGTGGTCTCAGAATTACCCTTGGCTACCGATATCGTGAATGTTGGCACGGCCCTTCCACGCAGGTCTTCCCCACGTATATATTCTTGGGCAAACGGGCCTTACTCTTCCTCTTTCTTCCCCGAACGCTTCTCCACCCTTGGGTAATATTGATAAACATCGTTATGATCAATATTATTCTGCTCGGGCTTGCCGCCTGTTCGAGCCTCACATACGCGGCTCCTGTATCGCCAGACCCTGCCGATGTCGCGAGTTTTCTCACTCGCAGGGCCGCAGTTGATGCTTGCCCTGGCTACACCGCCTCAAACGTAGTCGAGAACGGGGACACTTTGACTGCCGACCTTACCCTTTCTGGAGATGCGTGCAACGCATACAGCGATGACATCAAGGACTTGAAGTTGCTAGTTGAGTACCAAACTAGTAAGTATCAACATCTTCACTTTGGACACGCTTACTAACATCTAATAGACGACCGTCTACATGTCAAGATCTACGATGCCGCTGAGCAAGTCTACCAAGTATCTGAAGAGGTGTTCCCACGCCCCAAACACGAGAGGCCCGGCGGTGCAAACCTGGCGCTTAAATTTGGTCTCAAGGAAAGTCCATTCTCTTTCGATGTGACGCGCAGGGACAACGGCGAGGTTTTGTTCGACATTGGCACTGTGCCACTGGTTTTCGAGAAGCAGTATGTCCGCCTTCGCACTAAGCTGCCCGATAACCCCAACCTCTACGGCCTTGGTGAGCACAGCGACGCGTTCCGCTTCAATGCGGAGAACTACGAGCGTGTCTTGCTGAACGCGGAGTCTCCCCAGATTCCCAGGAATGCCAACCTGTACGGAACCCACCCTGTCTACTTCGACCACCGTGGCGACAAGGGCACCCATGGTGTCTTCATGCTCAACTCCAGCCCAATGCAAGTCGAAATGAAGAAGGCCGATGACGGCCAGTACCTTGAGTACAACACCATCGGTGGTGTCATCGATTTGTACTTCATGGCCGGTAGCAAGCCAGCCGAGGTTTCGAAGCAGTATGCTGATATAGCGGGCTACTCCGCCATGTACCCATACTGGACCTTTGGATTCCACCAATGCAAGTACGGCTACTGGGACGTCAACATGGTCGCTGAAGTCGTCGGCAACTACTCGACTGCTGGAATTCCCCTTGAGGTCATGTGGACCGATATCGACTACATGTATCTTCGCGAGGACTTCACGGTTGACCCCGAGCGCTTCCCCCTCTCCAAGATGCGTGAGCTTGTGCAAACACTCCACTCGCGCGATCAGCGATACATTCTAATTCTCGACCCGGGCGTTCACGCCGTCGGCGGTCAGTACCTCAGCTACAAGAAGGGACACGACATGGACGTCTTCTTGAAGGCCGCCGATGGCTCCGACATGCTCGGAATTCAGTGGCCCGGTGAAGTCGCATGGCCTGACTGGTTCCACCCCAACACGGAGAAGTGGTGGACTGAGGAAATGAACATTCAGTTCAACCCCGAGTCAGGTATCGATATCGATGGTATCTGGGTCGACATGAACGAGGCCTCCAACTTCTGTCACGATGTCACAACCTGCAACCCTCGCCAGCAAACCATCGACGACAACATTCCTCCTCACCCTGCCAATGCGCCACGACCCAACACCGGCCGCCCAATTCCTGGCTTCCCAGAGTCTTTCCAGCCGGGTTACAGTAACAAGGCCCGTGATGTAGAGCCCAACTCTGCACCACGCCCAGATTCTGTTGAAGCTCGCGGTTTCCAGTCTCTACCTGCTCGCCAGATCTACGATAGCCCGAGTAGTATGAAGGGTTTCCCCGACCGCGAATGGTTCAAGCCCGCGTATCAGATCAACAGCCATCTAGGTGATATTTCGCGCCAAACCATCCCCATGAACACAACCAACTATGACGGAAGCTGGCAGTACGACACGCACAACCTCTACGGCAACATGATGGCATCCACGACCCGCGAGTCCATGCTCGCCCGCCGTCCAGCCCTTCGTCCCTTCGTGCTCACCCGCTCCACCTTCGCGGGTACCGGCCGCAAGGTAGCCCACTGGTTCGGCGACAACTTCTCCGCCTGGGACGACTACCGCATCTCGATCCGCCAAATGCTATCCTTCGTCTCCATGCACCAAATGCCCATGGTCGGCTCCGACGTATGCGGCTTCAACGGCAACGCAGACCAATACATGTGCGCCCGCTGGGCCACTCTCGGCGCCTTCCAGCCCTTCTACCGCAACCACGCGGAAATCAGCGCCATCCACCAAGAATTCTACCTTTGGGACGTTGTCGCCGATGCCGCGAAGCGGGCCATCGACACGCGTTACAAGCTGCTCGATTACATCTACACGGGCCTGTACTACCAAACCAAAGAAGGCACGCCCATGATCAACCCCCTCTTCTTCCTCTACCCCGAAGACGCAAACACCTTTGGCATCGACCTGCAATGGTTCTACGGCGACGCCCTGCTCATCTCGCCCGTTGTAACAGATTACTCCGACACGGTCACTTTCTACCTGCCGCAAGACACCTTCTACGACTACTGGACCTACGCCAAGGTCGAAGGCGAGGGCAAGAACGTAACGGTTAGCAACCTAGGCTACAGCGACATCCCCGTGCATATCCGCGGTGGCTCCATCGTGCCCCAGCGTGTCAACAGCGCGAATACCACAAAGGCGCTGCGCAAAGAAGACTTCTTGATCATCGTTGCGCCGGATGCGGATGGCAAGGCGACGGGACGGCTGTACCTTGATGACGGCGAGAGTCTGAATCAGCCTGCTATGAGCGAAATCTCCTTTTCGTACGACGGCGCCAAGTTCAGCGCTACGGGCTCTTTTAGCTACGCTGGCGCGAATGAGGAGAGCATTACTGTTGCCAAGGTCGTTGTGCTGGGCCAGGGTAAGGCTGGTGCGACTGGCAACTTTGACAGTGAGAAGGGTGCCGTTACGGTTGATGGCCCGTGGAAGATGGATGGCGAGTTCTCGTTCGAGTTGTAAGACTAGGACGACTGAGTGTGTGTTTGATCTTTAACATCTACGGTTCATTTACGGCTTTAGCTATGCGGAAGAGGTGGCATCTTGTTGTGTAGTTGGATATAGGGTTGGAACGGATTTCATTGCAAGCGGTTTGCATGTAGACATGGCGTTCACGGGTGTTTGATTGGATGTGTGTATGGGATTGTATTCAGGGAATGGGTTCTTGAGATACCATGGGAGGGCTCTTGGAGGGCGACTCTTTATTCTTTACTTTCTTATCAATACATTTGTTCTTATACTATTGCAATATGCTTTCTAAAGCTTCCAGCATGACCGCCATGCCATCAGATCTTCAGACCGACACATCTCCGATATTACAGCACGTATTCTGAATTCATCGGCTTGCAACACCAACTCGACACTTGATCTTGATCATCGTACGTTACCGTATTGATGGATCGTCTCATCGTGTCCTCAAAAGAATTCCCAAATAGAAGTTCGTCAGGAGGCAATAAGGTGTAATAATTCGGTACTCGTCAGGATTACGACGGATACCGAGTTATTACAACTTATTGCCTGTATTCAAGACACGTGCTGGAAGTTGGAAATACGCTGGTATGAGGGTTTGATGACACGCCGCAACACTGCAGCACAAGAAGCACAAAGGTACAACCCAAGATTGGTACGTACCACGCACCCACCAAGCCCGAATGCAACCGCACCGATGTCGTGCAAATTAAGTATGGTCACAGCTCGAGGTGAGACGGGGCGGGTGCGGGTGCGAGATCATTCGTGCGGGGTAGTGGAGTGTTGACTCTCGTGTGACTGAGACACCGGTCTTGGCCTGACAGGTCACGCTGCCATCGCCCGGGGTTGTCTCACCGACCTTTCAACCACGAGCTCTTGTAGCGCACACCGACCATGTCGACCGAGGCTTCGGTCTGAAGGTTACCCAAGATGTGCCGACCCATTGAGGGGGAAGCACTCCCGCATTCATGACGTTGGTGTTGTGCAGAGCTATCGGTGTGTTGTCGCATAGACTTGTCCCTCTGATCGTGAACGTGTCGGTCGATTCTTGGGGCCGAACTGATGCCGTGATGGCAACTTGCGCGACAGGCGTAGTCGTAGTATGCTTCGTTGGCGGTTTCCTCACTCTCCTCCTATCGTCGTTGCCTCAAGCTCGTCTCGAACGCTGTTCAGGCTAACATCTTGAACCTCGTAGCCGACTTCGATCTTGTTCTTCGGACGCGCCTTGTTGAGTCCTTCGAGCAAGACGCAGGCCTTGCAGACTTCCTGGCTCGAGAGGTATCCGCACTTCTTGCACTGGCCCATGACCTGCTTGCTCGACTTCTTGGGTGTGAAGCCCTTCTTGACCTTCTTTCCGTTCGCTAGTGGTACCGCGCCGTTGCTCTGCTGCCCACTTCCATCGACACTCTTGGTGGTGATCTCAGTCTCGAGGTTGCCGTCGACGGCTGCTTCGTTCTGCCTGAGTTGGGCCTCGACGCTAGCCATCTCGCCACCTGTGCTGCGCCCTTGGGCACTTCCGCATCCGCCTTCCTCCTCTTCAGCCACAGGCACACTGCTCGCGCAAGCACCTCCGCAGCCTTCATCGCTACCCGGCACTAGCTTTGCCATATCCTCGCCGCTTCTGACCACATCGAGGATGGCGCTGGGCCGCACTCTCTCGAGATTCTTGATTAGAGCACGTGCACTGCCACGGAAGGCTTCAGGCGAGTATATGCATTCTGTGCTGAAGTAGTCGAGGCTCTTGTGGTGGGCGTAAAGGACGATCTCCTTCTCGTATGCGTACTTTAGAGGCTTGCTACGCTTGATATTGGTATTCGAGGCGGGGTCAGACGAAGCGGAGGGCGTGGATGTGATGATGGAAGTGGTACGCGACAGACGGGGCAGATCGCCTCTGAGCACTACTCTAGTTAGTTTTCTATAATTGAATGTTGGATAGGACTGCTTACAGTTCATTAGGACCGTCTCAGCGACATCATCCGCATTGTGTCCTGTCACCACATGCTTGACTCCAAGCCTCGACGCCCCACGATCGAGCGCTTGCCGCCTGAAGACGCCACAGTAAGTGCAGTTGCCCTTCTTGCCCACCTGCTCCACCACTTGATCCATTGTCCACCCGTACAGCTCTGCATATCCCAAGATGGTCAAGTCCATGCTATACTGCTCCGCGTTCCTCTTCACTGTCTCCAGACTATCATCTCGGTAACCTTTGATCCCCTCGTCGATTGACAGGAGAATGAGATCAAGGCCATAGTCGTAGCGCTCATTGAGCGTCTTGAGGACAGAAGCGAGAACAGTGCTGTCCTTACCACCGGATGCGCCGATGGCAACCTTTTCGCCGCGTTGGAAGAGGGAATTTGTGATGATGGTGTGGTGGATTTCCGTCTCGAAGACCGAGATAAAGCACGTCTTGCACAGCTTGGAGTGGTCTTTGGGGCGCAGTATGAGTGCCCGATTCACCTTGCACAGTGCGCAGGGCGAGGGCGGCATATTCGGGCGGGATGTCTGGGCGTGGTGTGCGTAAGCCCAAGAGTGACGCGAAGGCATGGCGGGGAGAAAATCCCATAGCGCGAGTCATGCCCCACTTGCGCGGGGCGAGACTGCCGTCATGCAACATGCGAAACACGAAACGCCGACGCCTCTCCTCTTCTGCACTCGTGCCCAATTTCCCCCTCCTCGACACTTGCTCAACGAAACACCACGCTATGCCCGGAGTCACTGATGCTCTTTGCCTCACTCACAGACACGCATCTCTGCCAATGTCTTAGCAAGCATGCTCAGCGACGATGTTTAGCAAATTCAATGTATCGGCCTGAAGTGACTACTCAATGGCTGAGCAGTCACCGTAACGTATAAACCCTTAAAAGCGCCGGAGCTTCCCTTTCCATTATTCCCGCGCACCAGGATCAAAGACTGGGACCGCAAGGCCCCCTGAGCGGGCATACTGCAGGTGCGGATGTTGCCATGCTACCACATGGCGATAGTGGCTATGTACACGAGAGGCGAGCAGCTGCCTAATAGCAACACCGCGGGAACAAACATCTCCGCAGCTGAAGGACCTACCCGCATGCAGACTCTCAGCGATGAACTCCGTCGAGGATACGAGCGGGACCTACGCTCAGGAAACCTGCACACTTCGTTAGTGAACCAAAGAGTCTGGACCACTTGGCGTCCTTCGAGGCTCGCAACCGACGTACCGCTCCCTCCCCTGCCTACAGACCAACCGCCTGGGGTCATGTGAGCGGATGCTTGAAATCTCTGAAGCCTGTCCGCTGCTGAACAGCCATGATTCTTGTCGCCTCATTCAAAGTGCCTTGATACGAGGCTGGATAGCCTGGTCTCACGGAACGGCGCTTCTCCTGACCCTATCGTGCCGAATTACGTTCAGCAGCTCGGTTCGACATAACTACACACACGTGCTCAAGTGCCGTCTTGCATACTGACAGGACGTCAATCGATTACGTGCTTAAGGAAACGCTCGCTGTCCCTGACGATCATCTAAGTCGGTTGTGGCCTTTAGCTAATCGCTTTATCAACTCGACTATTGAATCATTGGCATCCGCGCCCCATTCTCCATAGGCTGGCTCTATCGTTATATCGGATTGCTTAAGATCGTCAGGAACTACAGCAGAAGACGCTGCGCGACAGCGGCATTGGTGTGATTCGGCGCTTGGACCAAGTGACAAGAGAGCCCTGCCGTGAAAATCATCGTGGCCGGACACCCGCGCACCCGGATAGAGGACGCCAGCCAGGCTGAGCCAGCTGTAAGGAGGCGAGTCATACTGATGACGAGTGTAAGTAGCCATTCGGCATAGGTCGTTCAGAAACGTCGGCGTTCTGGCTCGGTTAGAGGTCGGCGAACTCATGTTCCTGGGATCGACGCGACCGCGCGGAATGGCAACCAGAGCGAGGACAGAATTCGCAGCCTTGATGTGGCTGTGTTACCCTTTCTCCGCGCGACAATCGTGTATGCAGGGCGTCAATCTCTCCGAGAAGTCGGCATCTGAGCAGAAAAACAAAACATCGGGCACACCAACCAGGTGTTTCACGCCCAACCGTACGAATGCAAGGACGCATCATCTGGAAGGGATGTGATCCTGGGGTATTGGGCGATTAAATGACGATCCACGGGATTCTCCAGGATGCCCAGTTGACAGATCGTAGACTAGCCTTTTCAGCATAGAGCGAAGCCGCATCCGACAATGGCTTGCGATCCGGTGGAAGCTAGCGGCACATCGTTTGCTGACAGGTGCACACTGACAACTTTATCGACATCGCGCACCCTGGCACATCTCCCGCGTCCAAGATGAATCTTCGGGAGAGAATGTCGATCTTCGCACCCTGCACCATGCCGCGAACCCTCTTGCCCTGTCGTCTCGCCGATACTTTCATTAACTTCCAACGCCTGAGGCGGTCTGTATAAGGTTGGAGGCGTCTGCCAACTTCACGATACCAGTGTCGTCGAACGAGCTTCAGTACTCATCACGCTCTTTGAACATTCTCCTACTGACACCATGGTCAACCCACTCCTTGTCCTTGACGGCGTTGGCTGGACGTACATTACCATCTTCATTGTTTGGAATCTCTCACTGTTGTCCGGTTTCGCTTTCCTATGGACTCATCGTCAACACCCATCGCTGCGTATGCGAAGGCTGCCGCTTTTGTTCGCTGGTGTTTCCGTCCTCCACATCTACGGCGCCCTCTGCACGCTCTGTACGTACGCCCACACCTACTACACCCAAACATGCTTTTGCATCACGTGGATCTGCCGACATCAAGCATGTGCTGACTTGAACACCTTTAGCCTACCCATTCGGCGCAGTCTTTCCTTGCTCGGTCGAGTTCTGGGCGATGTCCATCCTTGTTCCCTTAGGAATGGCCTTGTTCCATGCCTCGAACAGTCAGTTCTTGCACCTTGCCGCTCGCCAGAAGCACTTTGCCCGTATGAGCTCGTTGAAAGACCATGAGCCCATCGACGAGAAGAAGGCTCAAGAGGTCGTCAACAGCCGCTGGAAGAGGATCATGAACGGAATGGAGCGCGCCGACAACATCGAGCGGACATTGATCTTCATTGGCATTGGCATGGCTGTACAGGTGAGCAACTCATTCAGGCACTACCCAACTGTGCGCTAACCCACTGGATAGATGGCCCTTACTCTCTTTGTCTACTTCGCATCCCGCAAGTTCCACAGTGGCTTTGGTATCATCGATTACACCGTTGTAGGCACTGGCATGGAAGTGCGCATGAAGTGCAGCAAGGGTTGGGAATGGTGGCTGTCGATCGTGTGGCAGCTATTCTGGTCGTGGGTATACGCGCCTTGGATTCTCTTCAAGTCTCGCGGCATCCGCGATGTGCACGGTTGGCGTCTGCAGACTATGATCTGCTGCGTTGCTGGGTATGTACTAAGAATTGCTTGTTCGCGTTCGTCACTGACTCCCGCAGGCTTCCCGCATCTCCGCTCTGGCTCATCGGTCTCTACACTCCCGCATTTGCTCCCATGAACGCCGTTTTCCCTCCACCAGTGTGGTTCTCGGTCTGCTTCTGCATCATGGAGATCTCCAGCATCGGCTTCCCTATCCTCGACGTACTCAAAGGCAACAAACTCCGCCAAGAGACTCTCGACGCAATCGCAAACTGGGAAGCTCGCCAGAAATCGGCAGGCTTGGACGCAGCCTCCATCGACGTCAAGAGCACCAGTGAATACTCGAACACGACCACACTCAAGTCTGGCGGGGAGGTCAGCATCGGCAACCAGTCATTCCAGTCATTCGACTCGCAAAAGTCCGACATCCTGACCATGACTGCCCTAGAGAACGCACTCAGGACCAATGCCATGCCACTGCTCCAGTTTGCTGCTTTGAAGGATTTCTCTGGTAAGTCTTTCGCAGGTAACTACTGCACGAACGTATACTAATTGCAATCAACAGGCGAAAACGTCAGCTTCCTCACCCACGTCGCCGACTGGCGCCTCTACTGGTTCTCACCCAAATCATCCATAGCCGAACACCGCCGCAGGCAGTTCCTCGCCGCGACGCGCATCTACGCTCATTTCATTTCCCTCGAGTTTTCCGAATTTCCTATCAACATTTCATCCAAAGAGATGAAGCTCCTCCACATGGTTTTCGAGAGGACCGCAAACCTCCTATTCGGCCGTCGCCGCAAATCTGAGTCGTCTTCCGTCAGCGACGCCACACCCTTCGACAGCGTTATGCCCGATGACGCCTCCGATCTGCCCATCAACACCTCCGACAAAAGCAACCACATCTCTTCCAACGCCATTAGCCTCGACAAGCTCGGACGCGCAAACCTTAAGGCTGTATCCCGCATGGGTGAGCTGTACGATGACGAGTCTGTTGCCGATGTTGAGGTTCCGGACGCGTTCAACGAGCTGGTGTTTGATGCTGCCGAGAAGGAGATCAAGTACCTTGTTCTCACCAACACATGGCCGAAGTTTGTCAATGTTTCGCGCGCGAATAGTCAGTTGACTAGGGATGCGGATGAGGAAAAGGGCAATGCTTGGATGCGCAAGTTTCTCTGCGCATAATGCTTGCGTGAAGAGGATGGGACGGCGATACTTAATAACATAATTTGATACCCCGGTTGCTAGACATAAGCATCAATAAAAATTCAGTACATAACATAATGCCACGACTCTTGACAGCCCTCAAAAATGCATCACAATCTCTAGACGGCATAGAAAAATGTCTTCCACCGCCACAACCTCGCGAACCCAATCAAAACACCACCACCAATCATACACGCACCCGCCACCTTCAGCGCAATCCTACCACCCTGCTCACTCCCTTCAATCAACGCCGCAGCCCCAAAAACACCACCAAAAGCAGCCAACCCCGCCAACACCATACCAACCGCAACCCTCGCCGGCATATCATCCTCCCACCTCACTCCAACCTTCCTACTAAGAAAACTCGCCGCAACAACCATATGCAGCGAAAACACCGCCCCAAGCGCAACCCCATACAGCGCGACAAGAGGAAGTACAACATAAAGCCCTGTATAGAAAACAGGCGCAAGACAAACCGCACCCCCCAGCACCGCCGCAGCAACAAACATATTCACCGGCCCAACCCGCCTCAACGCATGTATATTGGCAACAGCGGAGCCTGAGATAGCAGCAACACTCAACATAGCAAGGACACCGTACGTTGCTGTGTCTGGGAAAAAGAGGCCAGGGGGTTGGGTGAGGAGGAGGATGCTGTAAAAGGGTAAAACGAGGATTCCTGAGAAGACTAGCATGTAGCCGATGAGAAACCACATTCCACCACCCTTTAAATCGACGAGGAAGTGTTTGGGCATCTGGAGATGGAGGGGGTGGGTGGATGGCCAGTCTCTCTCTTTCTGGGGATCGAGGCGTGTGAGGAGGAGGAATGCGGTGAGTAGTGTGGCAGACATTACGGCGCCGGTGTAGAGATGGACGCGCGCTGCGTTACCGGCTTCACTACTTTCGTAGGCAAATCTGGTTAAGACGGTATATACGACTGCGCCTGCGAAGCCGGCGAAACCTGATTGTACGGACACGAGCGGGACGTCGTTTTTGTAGTGGCCTGCGAGGACTAGACTGCTGAGCGTAAAACAAGCACCCAGTGCGGTACCTAGAACTGGACCTTGGAGTAGCAAGACTGCGATATAACTCTGTGTTGCATACAATGAGAACTGTGCCGCAATGACCATGATGATACCGGCTCCAAACAGCACTCTCCAGCCCCACGGTCGGGAACTGGAGTCGAGTATGCAAAGGTATAGACACCCGACTGGCAACGGCGAGGCGAAGAGGAAGAGCAGTTGTAGACTCGGTATCATGGCTAGTTCAAGCATTGAACGTGTAGGGAATACCGTTGTAAAATGGTGTTCCAGCGTCGTTCCATAGGACAAGGGAGTCCCGAGGACATTGAAGAGAATAAGGGCTTGAGCCCACATGCTTTGTTGAGTCGGTCAGCGCAGTTCGAAGTCTTTTCAATATGTGGAGAAGGGGGCAGGGTGGGAGGGGCGTACGATCGGTTTCGCTGTCTAGGCGCTGGCTCGCGCGACGGGGGTGAGGAGGAAGGATGACGTGTAGGGGCCGCTGGTCTGTTCGATGGATTCCATTTCGAAACTGCAGCCGGGATACCGAAGTTGCCTTGTTGGACGGCGGAGAAGCTGGGGGGTTCGAGGGGTTGGGGTTGGCGACGAGACATTGCGGTGCCAATTCGAGCTGCGTGTTCAAGACGTGGTACGGTGAGTGATGTGCGAAGTTGTAGCGACTTCAGTGGTGTCTGGTAGTGAAGTGTGGAGACATCAACGGATCTGCTTGACCTGCAAACGAGGGAGCGGAGTGCAATTGACTGGTATGTGGTTGGCTCTGTTGGTAGGCCTGTCAAACGCTTTGGTGGTATGTCAATGCTGGCCGAATATGTCCTTGAAGTAGGACCCGATGGCGATGATGCAGTGCAAACAATCACGCTGTCGCAAGAATGCTAGTATATATGTTGACAAGCGAAGAAATTTCATATTCAATCTTCCTATACCACATTAGTTCCGATAGAAACCTCATTCATTCCATACAAGACCGCAACGAACACGTCGTGATAACAAGCCCCCAAACGCCAAAACGATGTCCCTTTTCCAATCCCACATCCTTCCGTCTCCATCTAAAAGATGGAGTTGACGATATTTCCACCAATCGTAGCACCGGCACCAAAAATCGCCGCATTCCCCAACTTCTTACCAAACTTCTTGCCATTCTGTTCCATCTTACTCGGCTCACCCGCCGGCTGCACCTGACCTCCCTGCTGTGCTCCACTCGCAACATCCAACGGCATGTTACCGTAGTTGCTCGGCGCGGGCGCACCATTGTATGCAGGAACAACGCTCTTCTCCTCTTTGCGGACGTAGCTCGCAGGGAAGATACCTTCCATACCCGTGCGCTCGTTCCGTCCCTTCCACCACTCGTTGTTCATGTACTCCGTCACCACGACCTTGTCGTTGGGCATGAGGGCGAGGTCGCCGGCGTCTTGCGCGTTGTACTGGTACATTGCTGAGGCGTGGGCGAGGACTGGGGGACCGGCGGGTGTGGCGGGGACGGAGGGGTAGGCTGGGGGTGGTGCGTTGGCGGTGTTGTCGGCGTAGTAGCCGATGTTTGCTGGGTTCTTCTTCTCTGGGGGAGGCGTGGGCTCGCTCTGGATGTTCATCTGCGAGAGTTGGGCGGAAGGCACGGCGGGGAGGGCGCGCGCGCTGTTTTCGGCTGAGACGGGGAGTTGGGCCGCGATGGTGTCGTGTTGCGCCGGGGTGAGGACGTTGGACTCGACGAGGAATTCGAGGTTCTGCGCGAGTATCGTCAGAATCATGTGATGTTCAGGAGCTGGAGGTGCCTTACGTTCTTGATGTCGCGGAGAGATCGGTTGATCATCGCGTTTCTGAAGCTGTCCGCCATGTTGAGTGTGATTTGAGGATTGCTGTCGCGTGTAATGCGCAAGTATCCGTGATATGAAGACGGTCAGGCAGATTGTAAGGAGAAGTCGGTCAGAGAATGCGCGACGGGAGCTGGTGAGACGGGGTGGAGTTGATACGGGCGGCAGCATGCCTAGCACCACACCACTCGGAACGTCTGCGCCGCACTGGGGCTGTGCGCGTGTTGGCTGCGCAACTGCCCCGACTTTATTTATTGACTGAAACAGCCATTGATCTTATTAGGAACGCGTCTGATGGCATTGTTTCTTTTGCGATCATTTGCTCATAGCAAACGATGGGTTTCTCAACGACACAGCTCCTTGCGCCCATACATCAGGGTCCAAATGTGGCTTGAATTTCTGGGTACCAACAGGCCCCACTCTGCCATTCATCCTTCCATACACATACTAGCCCTTGAATCCGAGATATCTACTTCTCCGACAAGAAAATCTGCCTATACATCTCCTGTCTCTTATTCTCAAACGCATCAAAAGCCTTGCCCACAAACCCCACAGGAATCTGTTCCTTCCCCTCCACCAGCCCCTTCCACGCCTCTTCCGTAAACTCCGCTAGCGGCATACCAATATTGCCTCCATCCTTGATATCAGGCTGATGCTTCTCATCATGCAACTCTGTCTGCACCGCCGGCGGGAAGATCTCAATGACTTTGATGTTGCCCGGTCCGTTGCCTAGCTGGTGTCGCAGGACGAGGATCATGTGGTGTAGTGCGGCTTTGGAAGCGCAGTAGTTTGGACAGCGGGGGAGGGGCATGAGGGCGAGGCCGGAGGTTGTGTAGATGAGGCTGGTTTCTTTTTCTTGTTTCTGAAGGAAGGGGGTGAATGCCGTCGTCAAATGCATGTAGCTCAGGTAATTCGTCCTAAACTCCATTTCCAGCAAATCCAAATCCACGGTCTCGGGCTTGGAGAAGTCGAAACCGCGCTGGATGCCCGAGTTGAGGAAGATGGAGTCTAGATCCGGATGCGCAGTTGTTACATCTTTGACGAACTTGGGGATTTCGTCTAGCTTGGTGATGTCGAAGGCGTAGGTCGAGACTTTGTCGCTGCCGTGCTTCTTTTGGAATTCGTCGAGCTTCTCTTGTCGGCGGCCGACGATGATGGCGTGTTTGCCGTCTTCAACGATCTTCTCGGCGAGCGCCCAGCCGATGCCGGATGTCGCACCTAGCACGAGGACTTTATTGTACTTGAGAGACATGATGTGGTTTTGATTCGAATGCTTCGTTGATAGGTAGCTATGCAAAGCTTGGCTGGGAATGCGCGTCTTTATAGCAAAGCTGTAGCGATCATGGAAACATCATCAACGCCGCCACCAGCCAAGCTCTACCCTGGCTCGATAACTACTGTTAACCCCATCACAGCAAGGTCTCGGTGGTATCGGAGTTTAAACATGATAGATGCTGCTGTGTAGTGCTGGTGCGCAAGATTCTAGAACGTATACGTCATTGTGAAGATGTGGATCTGGATCGGGGCTCGGCAGTTGCGACGGATGTACCTGAGCAGGCCATGGCCTCCTCTGTACAACATGCGAAAGACGACACACAGTGGATGTTGGGTTGATTCTTCAAAACTTGCTGATTTCAGGTCTAATTACTAAATATTTTGTATATACAGTCGAATCAGATGTGTGTCATAACGGTCATTCAAGCTTATACATAGATGTAGCAGAAAGGCCCCTCAGTCGTGCTCATCAGATCCTCCATCCTCTCTGTGCCATCTGCAGCATATCCAAGGTTGATGGTTGTATCGAAAGTCGTGTTGGCCGAGGGAGGCATGTTCAAGAAGGTGCCAGTACCCGAGATACCGCCAGCCTCGCTTGTGCGGGTCTTGCGGTCAAGCTGCTGCCAGATCCACCAAGTCCTGTCAATCTGAGCGTGGTGGAGGTAGAAGAGCGGGTCACCAGGCGAGACGAAGAAGTCGCGGCCGGGGTCACCGCCCATGGAGTAGTGACCACCGCCGTGGACACCCAGACTGTCTGTTCCTGGTACACCCTGCATGACCATCTCGAATTGCCAGATATCCTTCTTGTTGATGATGAGGTCGGCGATGGCGGTCGCGTTGGCCCACTTCTTGTTGCTGTAGTCGGTCAAGTCGCGTGTCAGACATCTGGGGTTGTAGGAGAGGCCGTCGCCGTTTGCGATCTCGGTTCCGTTGGTTGTGCTCAGAGCGACTGGGCCAAGATTGACCTCTGGGATGATTATTAGTACCTGACTGAAAATGTAGTGTATGCATCGATGACTTACTCATGTCCTTGAAAGGACCGCTCGTTACACAGCCACCACCAGTACCGGCGGGGATGTAGATGTATGGTTCGCCCCTGCCTGCGATGACAACTTGTCCCTGGCCGGGAATGAACTTTCCATTGCCGGACATGGAGGAGGCAGATCCGTCGAGCATTGGCGACTTCTCGAGACCGCTAGCAGCAGTCTTTGCCCAGTCCCAGTAGGGCTGAGTCCCCTTGTAGCCGCACTCATTCTTGAGAGCTTGCTCATACTGCCAGGTGAAGTACCTGTGCCATGCCAAGAAGGTACCAGTGTAGTGAATCTCCATAGTCTTCAAGATGTGGTTGCCGACAAAGTCATCGAAGCGAGACTTTGCTCCTGGGATGAGTGAAGCAGGCGTGTTGGCCTTCTTCTTCTGGAGGCAGAGTACCGCATCGGTGTAGGCTTTGCGTTCCGGCTTCGTCAGGGCGCCCCATTCTTTGCGTACCGACACATTGTTCCAGGTGCAAGCGGCTCGCTTTGACGAAGTTGCTGCAAGTGCTTCCTCGACTTGTTGTTGAGCGAACTGAGCCAATTGCTCAAGTTGTTCGCTGGCGACTGAAGGATCGCTCGAGGGAGCAGTCGGTAGCGAGGAGGGGTCTATCGGCGCATCTTGTGGAGCTGGTAGCGCGTGTGATAGAGTTCCAGCGAGCAGGGCCAGTGCGATGGGAGAGTTGAAACGCATGTTGTCTGTTGACCAATGGAACTGATGGATCAGGAAGCGGCTTGTTTAGCAGAAGAACTGAGTGCTGATGAACAAAAGAAATACGTGCCGCTCCCATACATATACTTCGAAGGTATGATCAGACACCGCTACCGATTGAGCCTGCCATGCTCACTGCCGGGGTCGGTGGCGAGCACATGCCGAAGCCACCACGACCTTGCTGGAACAGTGCTGTACACCGCATCTAGTCTTGCTATCTCCGTCTGATGGCGGAGCATTGGAGCATGGCAAGGCGATGCCACGTGTGGGGCCAATAATTTTCTGGTGCCTGGAGCCAGTGCTACTTCCATCTCCGACTATAGTTATGCCCTGAGCGCAAGGACCCTGAGGCTAGATTGGCAAGCTACCTGTGAACCGGGTCGTGTACGCAAGCGAGTCCATACGAAGAGCCATCGAAGAGCCATCGCTCGGCGACATGTGCATGGCAAGATCGGAAGTAGCTTGCCGGACAACTCATATGGCGCCGGTGTACCCATAGTGTCATGTCAAGGCTGCCCGGTCTTCGGATGCCCACGGGCCTAGCGTCGTTTGGATAAAGACCCAGAGTTGATGCGCGGGAACATGATGGGCGCGCAGCATTCTGAATCGTGCCGGCTGCGAGTAATGTATGAGCTCCGCAATCGTTAGTTACCCATACAACAGATAGTTCGACAACTCTACCTCGGTCATGTCCGCAAATCTATCTTTTCATGCCGAGGATGCCCTGATACCAGTCTGTTCCACGTCTGCAGGCCATCACGTCCGAGACCTGCATAATGAGCCGCGACCCGCCCACGTGCAGGAGAGGAAATATTCTTCCTGGCGGCAGAGCCATGTGGTTTGCGAAGATTCCCTGAAAAGTGTACTGATCCTTCCATGATTCAGGAGCCTGCATTGGGTCTGGTCGCTCGGATATCGTGCGTGTTAGGTGAAGACTGCTAAGCATTCTATGCCGCTGCACATTGGTGGCGCAATCGTGCCATGGCGCTAGGCCACGCTAAGGGATGAGATCCGTCTTGCCGACTCCCCGTCCCGCTTCCTCCGCTCCATATTCACACCGGGCGCAAGGCCAGTGAGGCCTCCAGTACTTCCAAGCTACCGGTTAATCTCGATTGCGAATCTAACGTGCAGCCGCACGGGAGGCCCCATTCTGGCGCAGTCATTGGCTTACGCACAACCTCTCGAGTCTCTGGAAGCGTGCCGTCTGTTACGACCTTCCTTACAAGGCGCCTGGAAGCGACAAGCGCAGTAGACATTAACCGATCTCTCAGTTCTCTCAGTCCTACCTCGGTTTGCAGTAGATGGATTGCAGTATGGTTTCGGCGAGTTCTCGAGATTGCCTGCAGACGACGCGCTCAAGCACAGCCTAAGCGGCCCGGGGGATCTGCTCACGTCTACTTTCCCGCAACGGCCCTTCTCTTCATGGCCTGATACCATCTATGTCCTCAATCTGATGGTTGATCCGCGGACTCCTCTCTTCTCCTATCAATGCTCGGTCGTATTGACGAAATCATTCTCCACAGGCCCGTGCTCCAGACTAGCACAGTGGAGTGTTCTAGTTTTGAAGATGTGCAGTAAACGGTATGACATGCAGCTTCTAGCTCTTCATCACTCGCTTTAACGATTTCTAGAGTGCGGTTCATGCGGTACTTTGGATAGTACCTCGCTGCCTTACCTTGGCAGCTTCATACCCACGTGGCCGGTAGCTCAGTTGCACATCTTTGTCTGCTTTTTGCGGGTAGAGTCAATCATCTTCACCAATTGGTATCACGAAGAACATCTTCAATGACCATTCAAATCATACACTGCTGTCAGAACGTGCCGCTATACTGGGCGTTCAGCCACAGCTCAGTGCCGTCGCAACTCCCGAGGTTCTTTAGGACCGCACTTAGATTACCCTACCAGCGCCGTGCCCCGAGACCCTGCACTTGAGACTCTACGTCTGCAGGGGTACTCTTGATGCAAGGGACACTATTTCCTGCCCCGTCAGTCTGCCACGCAAAGACCCATACTTTCGTCTCGAATCAGCCGTCCACAGCCACCATTCCTTCAAGGTGTAGCGAGGCTAGTCCAGACGGTTTCTCGCCAGCACATGTCGTTATGGCTCGGTACCAAATTCGATGAGCCCGACCTCTTGCGCCGCGTGATGGATCGCAGATGCCAGAAAACAAGGTTTGCGTTAACTGTATTCTCTCCGTCCTTCCGTGTGGCGGTTTAAGGTCTTGCAGACAGGAGCTGCTGGTCTCAAGACGTACGCCATGTGAAACCCCTGACGTCGTCGCGAACTCCCGCTGGCTGGTACTATATTGCATATAGTGCAAGCATCTTGCTGGAACTTCGAAAAACTTGCGTGACACGGAATCCTTCACCTTCAATTGACGTGTTTTCCACAATGCAACAAAGCGGCGCAGCCATGCCATCGATGCGACCCTACGAAGATCAGGGTCCTACTATCCTCGCGAGCACGCTAACCGTCACCGTCGTGGCCGTGCTCACGACGATTGCGAGGTTCTATGTCCGAGTTAAGATGATCAGGAATGTTGGTTGGGACGTGAGTACTCCGCTGGCAAGGCACGGGTGACCAACGCTGACTTTGTGCGATCAGGACTATGTGATGCTGTTGGCTATGACATTGGTATGAAAGAACTGTTCTTAAAATCGTCACACACTGCTAACATTCTGCAGTGCATTGCTGGCCAATGCCTTGTTATACCGCAAGTTCATATGGGGGCGGGAAAACACATCGATTACATCAAGAAGGAAGACTCCGTAGCCGCTTTGAGGTTGAACCTCATTTCGCAGCCGATCTTCCTGTTCGCCATATGTTTTGTCAAGGTCTCTGTGGGGTTCTTTCTCCTTCGGATTGCGGTCGGACGGTTATACAGGCGCTTGATTATCGGCATCATGGGTGAGTGCATAACTCTCTGATAGCAATATGAGAAGCTAATCAGTCCTAGTATTTATGATAGTTTACACCATCGGCTGCGCCCTTACAGTCGTCACACAATGCCAACCCCTAAGTCTCATGTGGGATCAAAGCGTCAAAGGCACATGCTGGACCATCCAGACAAGACAAGCCCTCGGCTTCCTGAACATCGTACTGAACATCATCACCGACATTGCATTCTCAGTGGGGATACCAGTAAGTGTTTCCGGATACTGACTACTGCATTAACTATGCTAACACACCCATGCAGATTCCCATGCTGTGGGGCGTGCAAATGAACCGCCGTCACAAAGCGTCCCTCATCTGTATCCTCGGCCTTGGTACATTCGCTACAGTCGCCGCTTTGGTCAAGCTATCCTACCTCCCTCACTACGGGCGGGAAGGCGACCTCCTCTGGGACTCGCGCGACATGACCATCTGGACCGTTGTCGAATGCAACGTCGGTATCGTCGCCGGTAACCTGCCCTGCCTCAAACCGCTCTTTCGATCCATCCTCGTGTCCACATACGGCAGCGGCTCCCGCAAGAACTCGCAACCGCGATACTTTTCAGATGCATACGGAAAAGGCACAAAGCAGCGCTCTGCGGTCAAAAGCTACGGTCCTCTCTCATCGAACAAAACGTCGGAGGGCGATTATGCAGGTCATGGCGCTGCTGGCAAGTCCTACATGCTCACGACAATCGATGCGGCGACCAAGCAAGGTGGAGATCTAAGCAGGAGTCCATCCGAGGGAAGCTCAAGGAGCGGGGAACGGGGGAGCACGGAGAGCGACACGAGGCTACACAGCAAAGCACATGGAAGTGGCGGCATGGGCAACATCACAGTGACGACAAAGGTAGATGTGACTGAGTCGATGCATTCACATGACATCTACGAGAGCGGGCGGACATATCAACAGAGACCACAAGCGAAGGAGATGGTGTGAGGCAGGAACGAAGTTTGATGGTGATGGTAATGTCTTTCTTATGTTTCTCTCTCTGTCTCTGTCTCGTCTAATGTATACCCTAACTCTCGTCCATCTAATGGTTCATACTAATAAATATTATGTATCCAATGATATCCATCTCACCCGCCTACACAATCCCTCGCGTCGATGACAACATGTCTTGATGCTGTCTTCCTTCGACGCAGTATGTGAATCGGCAGGCCCACCCTCTCAAAGTAACGCGATACTCTTCCGCCAAAAATTTGAACTGCTCAAGGTAATGAAATGGGGTAATGCAATGGTGCCTTGCGGCTTCTCTCTAGCTCCCTTTCCGGGGCGGTGTATATAACTGCAATCTCGACAAACGTCGGACGCGATGACAAAAATGACAAAGGAAAATTACTGAGTTCGCTCAAGTAGAGCACAGTGGTGTTTGAACAAGGGTATCGAACTTCGCGCAGCTCAACCGGAAAGGCTGCGTGTGCTCCTGCGGCACGTGAAGCGCAATGTTGCGGAGGAGTTCATCCGGTAGCGACAGTAACCTGGACTCGCGGTTCTTGGATTTGTTTGATTTCGGTGAAGCCTTCAGCGTTGCTTCGGGCGCGATCTCGCCGTTCTCGTATTCAAACGAGATGTCTGCCTGCGAGTCGCGCATGCACCACGTCTCGCGCCACATAGCGGAGATGTGCTGGCGTTCTTCGCGCGACGCGCTGTCTTCGTCCTCTGGTTGCTCTTGGATGACGTGGATCTTCTTCTCGTCTTCGTCGGAGTCAGAAGACTCTTCCAGTGAGGACGCGGAGATCTTGCGGAAGCGATGCACGTCTGCGTCCATGGGCCGGTCGAGCCAGTCGTCCATCTCCTCGTCGGACATCTCGCTGCGGGTGCTCCTTGAAGAGCTCCAGGAGTAGCTGCTTTGCGGCGTTTGGGGAGGGGAGATGGGAGGGCTGAGGGTGGACTCGTAGGTTGCTTGCTTCCAGTGGACGTAGCCTTGCATGCCTTGGATGAATTCTTTGCTGGGCTTGCGGTCCATGGGCATCAGGAACTGCTGGATGGGGAAGAAGCTGCCTTCGACGGGTGAGATAGGCGGGGACAGGAATCCGCTGGAGATCGGGGTTTCGAGGTCGAATTCGGTGCATCGTGTCGTGTCCTGGGAGCTTTCCCGATCCGACTCCGGTACGGATGTGAGCGATGTTGTCGATGACGCCCGCGTGCGTTCCGCTGATTGCTTGACCGAAAGCACCGGATCCTCTTTCAACGACCGCATGTGTGAAAGGAGCTGGTCGTGTGTTTCGTTCAGCCGTTGGAAGAACGACTTCTTCTGTCGCAGCACATGGGGACGAAGGTCGTCGTACGGCACGCCAATGGTAGTCGACATCCTGGCAGAGAGCGATTGATTTCGATTGAGTTCGATTCTGGGTCCGAAGAGAGTTCAATGTTTCAGGAGTGGTTCGCGCGGGGTGTTTATGTTGATAGGGGCATGCTAGTTGCTTTTTTGTGATTGTTGTTGTTGTGTTGACCACGGGCGCCACGGGTACAAATACAGCTGAAACTGGGAAACACAGCTGCGCGTCCACCGGCCCCGCTAACAGTCGCAAAGCAAGGCGGGGCGATCTTCGTAATACGCCAGAAAAACGGTTGATCCATGCAGAGCCGTTCGGTCAATAGTCCAGCGACTGTCCGGCAAAGCGCCTCATTGGCTCAATGCTGCTGAGGCGGGGCGATGTTGTGGTTCGGACTCTCATCCGATGACCTCAGAAAGACGAGGACCGGGGTGTGTTTTTCGCCTATGCCTTAGCTACATGCACACCAAACAACAAAAGTCTGGTTCACCATTCAGAAAGCCGTTGAAGTGCATATTACAGATGTCAGTGAGCTCCGTCCATGCACGAACGTTTCCATAGAGACAGCTGCGATACTCGTCACCTCCACGACAGAACCCATCAGTACCCAAGGCATCCCATGTGATGCGAAACATGATCGCTGGGATGTGTCGGAGAATAATGTGGAGTAAGTCATTAGCGAGCTGGTCCAGAACACACGCCCACTACGATCCGATGACATGTGCTCAATTTCCCAGAGCGCTCGCGTTAAAGCCGTTGGTAATGAGGCGCCTTGGGCTGTTGAGGCTTGCCAAACAAGGCGACGTAAACCGGTCCGAAACTCTAAAATCCAGCAACAGCTTTTCGACAGTCGGTTTTCGCACTGTATTCTCGAGGTTTCCCATTACTTTTCGTCTGTGCTCCCACGTTTCGTCTGCATTACGCAGCTTCCGAGGACCCCACGGAGTCTTTTCCTTGCATGAACGATGCGGGTCGCGGACGTGGACCAGACGTCATGTGAAAGTCGTCTTTATTGCCAGATAGGAGGTACTTCGCAACGCATCTCAGGGAGCTCACCCAGCAGCCCAAGGTTTGGTCTGTGAAGCAAGGTCATCATCGAAATCCAGCATCAACCTGCTTGTTGAATATGCGCACAGCAAGTTGATGAACTTTGATGACAGACTCGAAATTTTCGACCGTGGTTCGGTGCATGTCAGTAGCACTAGCCGGCCGGTGCCCAAACGCGATGTCCCAAAGCAGTTAGGCTCCTCCTGGCGACGTTCGTGCCCAAGGAGTTTGGACGCGTTACGGGGCGAACACAACGCTCTCTGACCACCGCCTCAAATCTATACGATGCCATCGCAACCCGAGTCTGTGCATTTGGTTTCCCAGACAGGGCCACGCAGATCGACTATCAGCCTTGCGATCAAAAGAAGGGGTGAAGACCACGCATTGCCCAGTGACAGCCCAAAATTGGTACCCGGTCCTTGGCGCAAAACCGTTGTGCTGGTTGCTGCAGTTCCCAGGCCCTAACTAGCGAGCGCGGCACCGGCAATCAGCGCTAAACGACTAAGAATCCGTGGAAACCGAGGCAATTGGCTCGGTACTTCACGTCAGCATGTGCGGCAGTGGGAGCGACCTTCATTCGCGCGCGTCTGCGGAATCCCGTACACTTTAAACTGTTGGATTTCTTTCCTATCTAGCAAAACTTCATATGCGCATCAACCCCTCCTCTCCGAGCGTCTGTCCGATAAGATTCGTGAGATCCGAGCACGCAACACAGACACGCAATGCGGATGAGAGGAGGGCCGTGGTCGTGGCGAGCGGGGAAGCCCACGTCTTCCGGTGCGCACGGCGCAAAAATAGTAAATGACGGGTGTGCGGAGAGGAGAAAATGACGATGTGCGGTTCTGGACTTTGTGATCGCAGCAGGGTTGTGTATCAGAAACTTTCTCCTTGCAGGACAATTTTTCTTACGAGCAGAGTTTGCGCGTTGGACTTGCATACTGCTCTCGTAATTGAATGGTGAGGATAGCACGCGACGAATATCTAGTTTTTGAAGCAAGTCTTTCGCGATTGCGATATCCCCAGTCGAGAGTAAAATTGTGCATGGGATGCATTTGTGTGCGCCTCGTCGCTCTGCGCCATCGCAGTACCAGTGGATGTAGTTTTGAAGCAAGTCCAGAGTCAATCATGCATATTGCCTTGGCGAATGGCGGTGGGTTGTAAAGCCGGAAGACTGTTGCCAGCTATATATACTGCGAGTTGCCGACGGACAGACATCATACATGCATCGTTGTAGTAGCCATCGGCGCTTTCCACAGTCAAAGCAGTTACCACTCGTACAACCTGAGGAGATGTCAGTTGTGTTCGCAGTCTGACGTACAAGCTCAGCATTAAATCCACAATACAACAACGGGAAATAGTCTGGTTACATACCAGCTTTCGTATATATCGCAACGACACCGAGCTCGATGTCCGACCGGATATACGTGTGTATACCACAAGACGGTGCATGCGCTGATCATGAGTGTGACGCGCGCAGCGTTCCGCAACATGAGCCAATAGGCGAATGCACTGGAATCAGAGTCGATGTATATATAGGGAGAATGCGCAGAGTAGCATGCGATTCGAGTATATATCCGCGAGGTACGTCATCGTCAGCCGTTTGACTATCTCGTACAAGAAGTGACCGAGTACTGCAGCTCTGCGCTATACGCGGAGGGACACTCCTATTATTAGCAGAATCTATAGAAATAGAGCAGATAGGACTTACGAAGGTTCGTGCACATCATACTGTACAAAAGCCGGTACTCGATCGACATGTACAAATTTCCCTGTTGTATAGCCATCTAATGTATATATGGATCAGGGGATGCACTCTTGCATGCTTTCCCTTTATGCGACGCAGTCGTCCTCAACCTGGATCCAACCCCAGAAGCCAGCAGGCAACCCTGAGTAGATGTTATTGCTGTAGGTTGCCGGACCACACATATCGGAAGGTTCTACGTCTGAGGACCTTCAACAAGTTTGGAGTGCGGGGTATTTGGCAAGGTGGATATATATGTATATATGTAGGTGATTAGCGCCCAACGAATCGTACGGGCAAAGTAGAGTTTGGGTATATAGATGGGAGGTCCACGATAGGCATCGAGAAAACACTATATATAATGATCATCAGCGTAGACGCACGTCTGGTGCTGCAAGGTGTCTCAAGCGTCAACAGGCCACAGCACTCTCTCGAGCTAGTGCATTTGTACGCGCTCACTTATATACCACTTGGCTTTGATCGATTGGTCAATAAAATGTTAAGTCTGCATAAAGCGGTTACCACGGAGCCTAAAGGCGGAAGAGATAGCCAAATGATCTTTTGTATTGCATGTGATGTCAGTATATATCCACTAAGATGCCACATACCCATACACAAGTACCACCTCATATACCATCACCCGTCAATCACAACATTACACCCGTCCCGCATACCACTTTGCCCTACCCGTAATCCCTCACGCCCGCTCAGAAGTTATCGCAAGCCCTCTCAAACCACCTACTCTCCAACGGCTGCGGAAAAACACCCCCATCAATCAACTGAAACAAATCCCACTCGCCCGCGCCCCCCTCAGTCTTGAAGTTCCAGAAGATCCATCCCTTGGTCTTGGCCTCGTACGCATCGAGTTGGACCTCGATGTAGCGACGGACGCTGTTCTTCCAATCCTGAGTCCACAAGGAGACAGTACCGGATTTACCGGCGCAGGTGTCGATGTGATAGGAACCGGGGAAACTGCCTTCCATGCGGGAGCCCAAGTGGAAGCCGTTGAGGTGCGGGGCGCAGTCTGTGAAGGCGCCGGACCATTCGCCTACGACTGGAATGGGGGGTTAGTGTGCGGATGGAAGGGGACGGGAGGGGGTGGGCGGGGCTTACTGGTCCATTTGTCGGAGCTGTCGTAATTGCTGACCTGGACGGGAGGGGTTAGTAGATGTTTCCCCGCATGATGGTAGAGAGATTGTAACATACAGAGTTGCACGCAAGAGCGATGTGTTGGTCGATGGACATGCCGTTGATACCATCTCCGAAGATCTGGTACTCGTGGTGATCGACAATCACATTGCTCGCACCATCTTTGGTAGTCAGGAAACCGTTCAGCCAAGACGGGTTCTCGAAGCCATCGTGCATCATGGCGGCTGTATCGCTGATATCTCGTAGGCTCCAATACGCGTCGTTGTAGAACTGTTTGACCATCTCGCGATCGAGCTTCAGTAGGAAAGGCTCGTTGAGGAATTGAATGGCGATCACGACGTCTTGCATTTCTGGTTTGGCGTACTTTTGTGAGATGACACTAAGTGCAGCGTGTGTGTGGCTCAGACTCTCGGCGTCGCCCCAGGATGGCCAAGATGCTGTATGGCCGCTGTGGTCAAAGCCGTTTTGGGATTTGGGGGCGCCGTGAAGATCGATGATGATCTTGAGGCCGGTTTGGCGCGCCCAGTCGACTGCGGCGTCGAGGTAGGGAGCCGCACCGGCAATGTAAGGGCCCCAGGGCTCCACGTAGCTAAGGATATTGGAGTTAGTATGAATCGTGTATTGCCATCATGCGAAATCCTACCTCCAGTAACCGACGGGAATGCGTACGACATTGAAGCCGGAGTTCTTGATCTTCCAGAAGTCGTCCAATGAGACGAAGTTATCCCAATGTTGCTTCAGCACATCGGCACAAGCATCGTAGCCCAGTCGCTCGCAAAGCGTCCATTCGTCAAAGACTGGCCATTCTTCTGAGTCGTACTTCTCGAAGATGGATGGTGTGATGAATCTGAGTCCGTCAGGCCATGCAAACAATGGGTGCGGGTTTGCTTACGGTTCCACGACGAGCCAACCGCCTATGTTCACACCTCGCACTTTCTCTGAACCCCAGTCAAAGGAGACGCTTCGGCCGTGAAGGGTACTGCAGATTTGATTAGCCTGTGAGACTGAAATTGTACTAAAGGGTACTCGCCTCGGCGCGGCTGCTACCACAGAAGCTACAGTGGCCACCAGCGTTGTGACGAAGGACTGCATACGCATGCTGGATTCGGTGTGAATTGGATTGTTTGCTGTATCAGTGCCAGATTACTGAGGTGCAGAAAGGTAGAGAAAAAAAGGTCCAACAAGAAAAGCGAGTGGTGTGTTGAAAGTGAAGAAGTGTTGAAGTGAAGTGAGTGGTACAAGCCTGCGTGTACCATCTGTAAAGCTCAAGTACATACGTCGTTGATACGTATACAGCGAAACACCGGGCAGTCGCAAACCCGCATGCAGAGCAAAGCGGAAGCGACTACCACAATAGACACCCGGAGCAACCAATATCGGTTCCACGCCGTGACCCAATGGAAGTGACAGGTGACGCAGTTTCCAACCGTGTCCACCTGGTCCTTACGGTACATCCTGCCACATCTTTGCGTTGCAGGAACGACCAAGTACCCATATGCGACAATGTAACTCCTAGAGATAGTGACATATCTCTGATGTTTCTTCATCCGTATTCAGGTTGGGAGTCCCGTTGGTTGAGAACCGAGTATCAAAGACGCGGTCTATGCCGAACAGCGTGGCCTCCTCCCAAGTGTCGGGCCAGCTCTCAAGTCCATTAGAATTCGAGCTCTTCCGCGAAGAAGAACCGGGAAAGTGTTGATGAAGGTTGCATCAATCCATATAACCCGTGGTCTCATCCATGATCGCCGCGAAGCTCTTAGTCTCACGATGCTTCCCACTCGTGATAGGTGGGAATTGCGACATCTTCAGTCGGAACTCGTCCGACTTCTTGATCGCAGGCCCGAGATTTCTGTAGATTTATCAGTACGAAATGTCAGTGATACGAACGATCAACGTACTCCACATCACCACGAACAAGGTAGTTATTCCGTTCCATTGCAACAGCGAGCTCCTCCTGGTGGTTGCCCAGTAATCCAGTATTTGGCACGACGATGAGTGGGATCTGATAGCGAAGTGCTTCAAGGATAGAACCGGATCCTATGCATCGTTAGATGAATCGACCAAATGAAGTGGCTGTGCAGTACCAGCGTGTGAGATGACCAAGCCTTTCGACCGCTGTACCAACTGGAACTGAGTTTTCAGTCCGTCCGGATTAAAATCTATGCCATCTATGACGAGGTCTCCTTTTGACGAGGTCTCCTGCATGTATGCTGAAGCGAGTTTGGAGAACTGTTTGTACACGTCCTCGGCAGATCCATATTGGACCAAGAGATGAGTGAATCCTCCTTCGCGTAGTGAGTCCAGACACTTTGGACTCAGCACTGATTCGATGAGCTCGGTGAACGGCGCCGTTGCTCCGGTAGTCACGAAGCAGAGCTTCGAATCAGACGTCCAGTTCCAAGCCATGGTGGATGTGATGGATGTCAAGATATCGGGGGATAGTGTTGGGTAAGCGTGATCAGTCTAGCCATCAACTGCCCTCGAGATCAGAACCAAAAGTCGAAATCAAGTCGGCGTCAAGATGGTCACGATGCAAGGACGGCGGCGAAGGTCGGGGCCGTCGTAGTTCCAATTGGTCCGACGCACGGCCACACTTTGCACCCCATCGCCAAGCAATCCTGCATCGCGAAAAGTCGACGACAGCATCACCCGCCCAACCGCATCCAATGGCGTCAATACCACGAAGACTGCTGCTGCAGTCACGCCAATGCCCCTCGCGGATACGAACGCTCGCCGCACCAAAACACACATCCGCACAATGGCAACGGCCAATATCCACAACGCCGCGGCGGTACGCCAACGAACCCACGAAAGAAGGCTCCGTAACCGCTGCGGATGCGAAGAAACCGACTGAAACTCTGGAAGAACTGGCGCCGGAACTACCTCAATCCTCCTTCTCCAACACCACCCAGACAAAAGCATTTCAAGACATGACACCGCAAGAGCGCGAATCCGCCATGTTGGAGAACCTCCGCGTGTCCCTCGCAGAGATCGATCCGAACGTTGTCCGCGACGCCCTGCGCAAGGGGAAACGTGGTCTACCACAAACCCAAGACTTTGGCCTGGAAACAGACGAAGACTTTGATATCGAAGAGGATGACAAGAGGAAGGTATCGACTGGGTTCTGGGCGGAGGGAGAAGAGAGCATGGGACCGGATGAGGATTACTACGGAGACGATCTGACAAGTCATGGACACGGAGAGTTGGAGCAGCACCGCGAGTTGAGGGAGTATGCGCGGTTGATTGCGTGGGAGTTACCGCTTTTGAGCCGTACGTTTACCATATATCCAACCATCCACGAGATGAAATAACTAACGCTTCCCCAGACCTCGCCCGCCCCTTCGAACCCCCCACATCCGCAACACCCTTCCGCTTCCGCTACACATCCTACCTCGGGGAATCGCACCCCGCCGCCAACAAAGTCGTCGTCGAGTTCTCGCCCAACGACCTCACAGCCTCCCACTCGCTGAACCCCCTCCAAGTCTCCAAAGTGATCAAACTCGCCGGACCCCGCTACAACCCCTCCACCAACATCGTCAAGCTCTCCTGCGAGAAATTCGATACACAGGCGCAGAACAAGCGGTTCCTAGGTGAAACCCTGTCTGCTATTATCAAAGAAGCGAAGGAAGGAAAGGATACGTTTGAAGACGTGCCGTTTGATTTCAGACATCACACGCCGAAGAAACGGGCGGAGTTTCCCAAGGAATGGGTGTTGACGAAGGAGAGGAAACAGTATCTTGAGGAGAAGAGGGCGGAGACGGCGTATCTGGAAGATCAGCGGAAGGGGAATGGACTGCTTGTGGATGGCAGCAAGGTGCTTGAGACGAGCTTGCCGTTTATGAGTGAGACGGGCAAGGCGCCGGAGACGGTTATGGTGGGGGGTGCCAGGGGGAAGCCACTAAGATAGAGTGGGTGAAATAAACGTTGATGTATGAATACGAAATGTTTGATTGTTGTACAGATACGCAATGGAAAACAGCATCTTTCTGTGCTGCGTGTGGGGATGATACCCATATATCCAGTGGTGGACCTTAACTCCTAGTGATACAAATTTCCGGAATAGTCTTCCAAGGGTATAGTTAGACCCATCGTTACGCCAATATTTCCCCTTAACGCCATACCCAATTCCAACATGATTTTTACGAATGTTAAACGGATGTATCCATGATTCCGGTATTGAGTGGATCGACAACGCACTCGTCGCCACGGCGCATGCACATCTTACAAGGGATGGCTACGGAAGCGTTCTCAGCGTGGATCCGCACGTTGCATGTGTGCGAGGCCCTGCTATCATAACTGCGCACGCAATGAGTGCATACCCCAGCTCGATAGGCCATCTCTTCTGTGCGCGCTGTTAGCAGGCAGATCAAGCAGCTTGTCCTGTGACCGCGCTTGGACGACTCTTCTTCCTGCTACCTTTACCCGCAGGCGTCTCGCCCTCTTCCCGCTTGCGCTTTGCGGGTCGAGAGCTGCCGCCCTTGGGTCGGTAGGCGGTGTCGTCGTCGCCGCCTCCCGTCTTGCGTCGTCCCTTGCCCGTTTCGGGGGCTGCCGAGTCTTCGTCGTCGTGCTCGCGTGGAGCGGGTGTGCCGCCGCCAATGTTTGACTCGCGTTTGACCTTGGTTGCGTTGGCCTTGCTGGTCTTTGGCGCGGCAGACTTCTCGGAGAGGTTCTCGTGATGCGCCGCGTCCTTGTCTTGCAGGAAGACTTGGGGCTGGTGCTTGCGTAGCCAGTTGTAGACGCTATCTGGGTTCCGCACGGTAAGGTCCTTTTCGCTGAGCGGGGGCTGGGCGGATGCGAGGCGTACGGGGCGGCCCTGCTGGAGGGCTTGATCGAAGCCGGGCTGCTCGAGGAGTTGGTCGGTAGCGAGGAGGTATTCGTCTTCGTGGGTGGGCGACATGTAGCCCGGCGCATGCTCGCTGAGGTCGATGCCTTCAAGCGGGTGGTCGGGCAGGTCGGCGCGCGTCGTGTGGGGGACTTTGGCCTCGAGACTGGCGAGCGACTTGAGCGTCTGCTGGATGGCTTGCGACGAGTGCAGTTGGTCAGCCCGTGTCGCGTACTCCTCGGGGGTGATGGTGTTGGCGGCCAGGTCCTCTCGCAGCGTCTGCAGCTGCGCTTTCACCAGTTCTGGATCGGGGACGGCTTCCAGCGAGGGCACGGCGGTGTCGGCGGCGGAGAGGTTGCGCAGGTCGAAGCGCAGGCGCGGGTTGACGCGTGTCTGCTCGTTGAGCTCGAGGAGGATGTCAAGGATCTGGTCGTTGTTCTCCTGCAGGCGGCGGGCGGTGCCCATGGCCTTCCACTCCTGCTTGATGAGGGAGTCGCTGTCGTTCATGGCCTCTTCGAACCTGATGCGCATCTTGCGGTATTTTCGTCTTATGCACATTAGCTGGGGATGCATTTAATCCATGGGCGCGTCATACCTCCACGAGCGCTTGACGGGCTTCTGCGTCGCATCGGGTGCATCGACTTGGGGTGCATCGTGGGCGAGGGCGTGGGGCTCCATCGGGGGCGGCGCTTCCGAGGCCATGGTGGTGAAAAGGGTGGTGGTTGGAGGGTCTGGCGTAGACGGAAGTGGTCGTGTCTGGTTCTAGAGTTGTATGGTTGCGCTCAGGGCACGGCCTCGGTGATTGCTAGGAACACGGTCTTTGGGAGCATCATGTGGACCTGCCACGCCTCCGTCTTCACGCCTGCCGACTGAGGCTTCACTCCCTCCTCCTCTGCCACCAGTTCCCTATTCTCTGCCCGCTGCCTCGCTATATCGCTACCGTCGACACGCCCATCTCCGCGCCAATCGCTCAACGCCAAAAGCTCGGACGCTCCGGAAGGTATTGCGTACTCAGTAAGACCCTGAAAGCCCACGTCGCCGCCTTGCTCCTTTCGGACCTCACTGACATGCCATTGTCCGTGGCAGCTCTTCCATAGCCTCAGCTCGCGCACGCGACTATCTATCCCCCTTCCCCACCGCCCGGCCGCCCGACGAATCCAGCAATACCGCCAAACTGTCACCCATACTCCTCAATCGCACCTCCCGCCTGAGCTTTGCTGGCGACCCGCGGTCTCGCCCATCAGACTCGCCCTCGTCCTACTCCAAGATGTCACTGGATGCTGCAAAAGACGCGAGGAGGCGACGTAGCAGTAGTCTTGTCTACAAAGAGCCCCCCGAGTCTCTGGAGCAGCTGAGCGACCAGTCCGCCCTGCCCAACCTCAACGCCGAATGGGTGAATGCAAAGGGTGAGCACGAGATACCGCGCATACATATCACACGAGATAGAGATGATATGCTGCTATTCTGTATCTCAGGCTAACACCTCCAGGCGCCTGGGCCATCCACTTTGTCCTCATCTTCTTCGGCAAGATTCTGTTCGACATCATCCCCGGCATGTCGCAAGAAGCATCATGGACCCTAGTCAACCTTTCGTACGTGGCGGGATCCTACCTCATGTTCCACTACGTGCGCGGTGTGCCCTTTGACTTCAACTCGGGCGCCTACGACAACTTGAACATGTGGGAACAAATTGACAACGGCGAGCAATACACACCAGCCAAGAAGTTCCTTCTCAGCGTGCCCATTGTGCTGTTTCTCGTCAGCACGCACTACACGAATTACAATCTCACGTATTTCCTCATCAACTGTTTTGCGACCATAGCAGTCGTCATTCCAAAGCTCCCTTCGGTATGCACCGCAACACTCTTCAGACGAAGCATTACTAACTTCCCCAGCTCCACAGGATACGATTCGCCTTCTTCAACAACCCACCGGACGACGCATAGCCGACAATTCCCATAATCACAACCATTGGTTTCACTGTAATTTGCATGTATTTTTAATAGCAGCCGCCTGGCATGGCCAGATTGTGTAGCATCACCGCGTGGGAGCGGCGTTGGGCATATCCATATTCAAGGGAGGCGCTGGATTCACAAAAGTAGCGAATTGATTACCTCGCGTGCTCACGTGGAGATAGTGGCTTGATCTAGCTGCATATATCGCATTCGGGACTGGTGCATACATATGATAGGCCATAATACTCCGCAAACATGCCCTCGCAAAGACGTCTCGCCTACACTCTTCGAGAGTCCGTTACATGTCATCAATCCTTGGATGCTTGGTAGTGTAGTTCAACATGCAAGGTGCCACCACTTCCGGCAACTACGGTCCGAGCGCACTGCCAAATCCAGCCATCCTTCGTCATCGATGCGCACCTCCATGCAGTGTGATCCTTCGCGATCAACACCTGATCCAACGCGCCATTAATCCTGCACTTCTGACCCCCCGTGATATTCGCCGCCCGAGGTCTTCGTGCGTGAATCTCCGCTGTCTTTCCAGCGCGCGCGGTCCTTCCTAGCGGTGTTCGCCATTTACCTTCGACGTCACGTCGATCATAGAACGCCTACTCTCGCCCAAGCTTCGCAGAGACTTCAGCTCACTCACCACAATTACACGCGTGCCTCTAACAACAGTAGAGCATCATGGCCTGGTCTCAACTTGAGCCTACAGGGCCGCACGTTACTTACGTGACCCTGACCTTCTTCCTCATCTTGTATGCGTTGTTCTCGCTTATGATCCGGAACCGCCTGCATCTCTCAGAACCACCATTAGCCACGCTGTTTGGTATCGTGAGTTGCAGACATCTTCAAGAACCAACATTTCGCTAACAAAATCGATAGATCATCGGACCACGCGCTCTGAACCTGCTCAGGCCATACGAATGGGGCTTTTCCGTAAGTGTACTCCTCACACAAACAAACAATACTAACCGTCGCAGGATGAAATCATCCAAGAGATGACGCGTCTCATTGTCGGAATTCAATGCTTCGTAGTCGGTCTGGAGCTTCCCGCAGGCTATCTTCAAAAGAAATGGCGCGCCCTGCTTGTGCTTCTTGGTCCTGTCATGACGTTCGGCTGGCTGATGTGCGGAATGCTCATCATGTTCCTTTTCGACACGGACTTCCAGACTGCTTTAACGATATCGGCCTGTCTCACGCCCACGGATCCTGTTCTTGCAGCTTCCGTTCTGTCCAACAGCCAGTTTAGCACCCGAGTACCCAAGCGGATTAGGGACTTGTTGAGCGCGGAGAGTGGTTGCAACGACGGCATATCCTTCCCGTTCCTGTATCTGGGATTGAGCCTTCTCCTAAAGAACACCGCTAGTGGCTTCTTCACGAAATGGTTCCTTGTTACGATACTGTACCAGTGCGTGGTGGGCGTTCTCCTCGGTATCGCCCTGGGATACATCTTCAACGGCTTATACAGGTTCTCACACAGCCGCGAGTGGATGGGTCGAGCCTCATACCTGGCCTTCTACCTCCTCTTGGCCATCTTCTCCATCGGACTGGCATCGGTTCTTGGAGTGGATGACTTCCTAGTTGCCTTTTTCGCAGGCCGTGGCTTTGCGCACAACCAAAAGAACCCGACAGAAGGAACCGCTCTACCCGTCATCATCGACTTGCTGATCAACTCGGCCTTCTTCATCTTCTTCGGTGCAATGATACCCTGGGCGAGCTTCAACGCGGTGGACGGAATCACCCCTCTCCGACTGGTCGCTTTGCTCGCACTCATCCTGCTCTTCCGCAGGATTCCGATTGTTTTCACGCTCTTCAAGACAAAAATGTTGCCATCCGTGAAGACTACAACTGAAGCCCTATTTGTCGGACATTTCGGACCAATGGGTGTTGGCGCACTCTTCCTCGCCATCGAAGCCCGCGCGCAGCTCGAGACTGGTACATCCCTACCCCTTCCACATCCGCCTAACGATCTGCCAGTGGAGCGACAACGTACAGCAACTATGATCTGGCCCCTTGTTTGCTTCATTGTGCTCGGAAGTACCATGATCCATGGCTTTAGTACATTGGCTGTCAGCATAGGAGGCCATCTCGCGCGTCACGAGGGCGAGAGGGCTCCTTTGATCGGAGCTGAAACGGAAGGACTACACGGCATGTTCCATGACGACAGTGAGGGCGAGGACGAGCAAGAGTAGTGCAGTGTTGTAGTCGCACGAAGACCGTTTGGCATGGGGTGAACGTTGGAGCTTGGTCTGATCTGAGCTTGGGCGCCAACACAACACTGAGAAGAACATCAGTAAGATGAAGAAGACGCGCTACCATTGGTCTGTCTTCTCTGGGCTTAGGACTTCTCACTCCACAGTGTCTATACGGCTATATGAAGTACGATATACGCCAACAATGTCGTTCTACACACAGTGCGCATAAGAGATGTAGATGCTTACCTTGAGTATATATGATAAATCGAGTTCATTCAGTATCAGACCAGAATTAGGGTTAACAACCATGTCGACTGAGGTTTGTACAAGTCTAGGGCCGTCTGCTGCGCTGGATCTCGCTAACAGCTCAGCATCAAATGTTGCGCCTGGGGTCAAGCATTCATGTCGGCTCCTCGGTCGGTTTTCTCGCGTGTGTTTGACTGCTTAGGTGGGAACGTAATCATCTCACGCTGCTTCCGTTCTGAGCTTCTGCGTAGAGCTGGGTGGAGATTGTCGGGCTGGCTAGAAGAGGTTCTAGCAGACGCCGACACCGCTGCTCAAGTTGGAGGTGGAGAAGTGGCAACTGGCGTGTATGGAGAAGCGGAAGATGACGTGTGCAGGAGTCAAGAGTACAAGATTGGAGATGACGAGTGCCATGCAAGTCGTACTCTAGACGCGCATCCGTCGCAGCCAGATAGTGGTTGGGGTGACCCGCAATGGTAGGAGCGAGGGGTTCGAGCGCGTCCTCCAACTCTCCGCCAACACTGAGCTCAGGTCCTTGTAAGCGCACGCAGGAAATTGCACGCAGCTTACAGGTGGCAGAAAAGAGGCATACTTAGTCTGCCATGGCTATTGTGGTACCCTACGCCCAGAGAGCGCGTTTGGTATCAATCAACAGCGTGACTGACACTTCCCGCTTGGGCTATAGCCATGTTACTCAGATCGTCCTTTACCCAGACTCGGCAACAGTTATGTCATACTGACTTCTCAAATGGAGTCGCTCACTCCTGACAATACCCGACCTCTTTCTCCAGGAAATACCCTATTCGGGTGCTTACATTGTACTAAACTATTGTTCTCAGATCTCTAGGTTTCTGAATGGATTTATTCATAAATCCACGCTTATGTTCTTGCACAAGTATCTACACAATACCACGCAGCTTGTGAACTTGAAGAGATCACGCGAGCTTTTGATCACGCGTTATTTTGTTGTTATTGTCAAGACATGACCGCCCATCCTCGCCTTGCGTATAGCCGCAATACTTAAAGAAGCCGCAGTCACTCTCTCACTCACCTCGAAAGCTCATTCCTTCACTGTTTGGATATCTCACTCCCTCTCAGTATATGAACAAGCCATCAGGAACCATGCATCCCTCTTCTATAAACACCACATCTTTGAGAACGAGAAATAAAGCTTAACATCATCAATTCTCTTCTCACCCTTTACGGCAAGCCCAAGCATATAAACCCCAACAACAATGCCAAACGTCGCTTCAGACCTCATCCCTACCAAGGCCGGCCACCTCCCCGGAATCCTCACTCTCCTCAAGTCCGGCAACCAAGTCACCTTGACCGACATCCGGACCATGTTCGACCAAGTCCACCCTGGCAGCGCGGCGGACCACTTCGAGCCGTGCGAAGGCGGTTACAAGCTCACGCCTCGTTCGGGCTTCGTCAATCTCATCGGTAAGTATCAGTCTGAGTTGGAGAAGTGATAATGGTTTCGCTTCAATCACGCCTACTGGTGACGCTTGACAAGATAAACTGACCGCGAGCTTTATTATCACCGACAGGCCATCTCAGGGACGAATGGCCGGAATTTTGGATCCAGATGCGATCTCAGCCTATCCCAGAGAACTTGAGCAACATGCAAGGACCGACTGTTCAGTAGACGCCTACGTGGACACATCGGACGGTCGCGAAGACATAGGACATGGAGGTCGGGGTTGCGATAGCAAAGGGGCAGCGAGGCGTCTTCATTGACAGGAAGTCGCGGTATTCGATATAGCTGGAGCTGTTTGATGTCGCCTGGCCTGGCTATGGTACATTTACATACGGATTGTTGGAGTGATGTAGTCTGCAACCCCAAATTGGGCATTCATTAAGAAATAAAACGTTTGCACTGATAACCTCCTCGCTACGCGATAAGTGAATGTAAGTCTAATACTTTTTTTGATGTATGCAGCAGAAGGATTACAAGAATTGTACGAGGATCTTGTTAATCTGACAGTTTAGTCGAACTGAGAAGGATCAATGCAAAGGTGTTGATGGGTGGCTTCTTTCCTCCGGGGTGTTACGCCCGCTGACCCAATGTGCGCCAACCCCACCTCGCACATGACAGCGCGTGCATCCTCCCCCCCACATCATCGCAAGGAACCTAGGCAAGTAGGCTTTCAGTCATCTTAGTGTTGTATCCAGTGTCCAAATTCTTGTCGGCCAAGGTCGATCAGGTTGGTACAATCTCCTTGGCCTCGACTCAGCCACCATGAGTCTGGGGTCATGGGTTACGAGGCTGTGCTGCTGCCTTGGGGTTGACAGGTAGTGTTGATCCTGAGCACATCGTCACATGGAAATTCTATTCTCGGAGCGTAAGCGCTAATCAGAGAACAAGTCTTCGACAGTGGCTTTTGATAGAATCCGTTTCTTATCCATTTCTTTCATCTCTTTCATCTCTTTACCGCGCTTAGACATACGATCTTCTCGCCCTCTATTAGTTTCCGGCTCAACTTCTGTGTAAGTTGTTGTAATGCTGCTAGCTTCTTGTACTAGCAGCTACTTACATCCTCACAGCATCAGATCAATTCGTCCAGTGATTGCCATGATACCACCGACTGGCCTCGTCGCTGAAAGCCAGATGAAGAGAATACGGGAATGCGCAACAGAGAACGAAACCCTGGCTCGCTGCTGGGAGAAATCGCATGTCGCTCTGGTATCAATGGAGTGGGCTCCGTCTGGTCTGGCCTATTCCTGGAATGGCTGGATATCCTGTAACGAGGCGAGGGGCTACTGGAAGCAAGTAGAAGCGATGCGAGTCTTGTCTGTGGAAACCACCACCCCAGTATCCCCAGCAGTATCAAGCACTGAGGATCAAAGCGATGTAAGACAGAACAAAGCGCACGAGTACCGATTGTGGGTGCCGTCCAAATGGAACGGGAAACCAAACGTTCCCCAATCCAGCTTTGTATCGACCAATGAGGCCGTCGCGGGTCTCAGAAAGATGTTCCATGACTTGTCAACAACGTATCCAACAATCTGCGTCTGTTTCCATCGACCGACTTTGACACAGCAGGGCCTAGCCGACATCGGATTCAAGCTACCAAAAGGCACCATCTCCATCGACATGATCAAGGTATTAGAGTACCAGTCCAGATTTCGAGACATGCCTCCAAAGGTCAAACGCTACATCAATAGTTGCCTGAATGTTAACATGCGCGACGGGGTTCGTTTTGGAGAGAGATTCGACGCAAGCGACAGTGACGCATTTGCATCCGACTTCAATAAACACGCGCCAAAATATGGCCAAACCGACGAGTGGCGTGAGATCATCCGTAAGAAAGACCTATCGGCTGGTACCCTGTTGAAGATTCTTGGGCCCGAGGCAGAAGCCTACTTGCGGCAGATTAGAAAGATAGAGAAGATATACACACTAGAGAGGGATGCGCGCTGGGAAGTCGACGAGGCAAAGGAAGCAAAGGAAGACTACCAGAAGCAGCTTGCTATGCTACGCCAACAGACGGCTGAGTAGCTCTGAGATCCAGAGCGTCACGAGGAGGGGCCATCACGTAAGTTCTGATGCGAAAGAGTTGCTGGGCTCGAGGGGGTGTGAGATGGAGATGTGGCACTTCCAAGGTTTTTCTCGCCTCAGGTGGGGCCGAAGTCGTTGATTGGCCGGCTTTACGCGCAGTTAGGGGCCGACGCCAACATCTTGAGAGCAATTGCCCGGTGCTACCCTTACACAATTTTATGATATCAGAAAGTCGCTGATTAGCCAGCTATACGCTTCCACCATTCAACTCATCTCACTACAAACCTTGGAGTTATCTTCGTTCGACGCTTGACACAGCCTGACGCTAGCGAAATCTAAGTATTGATCCTCTCGCCCAGCAATCGTATACGCGCTCGCGCAATGACTGTAGTGGAGGCTTTTCATACCTAGGTATGGTGGGCCTCCCTTATGAGTGTCGCGCATAGGGCGGGAGGCCCGCCCGAGGATCATCAAGGTACCATCCCCTCTTGTACATACATAGGTGAAGCCGTGTGTATAAAACTCGACTCGTTGCACACCTATATTATTGTATTCCATCAACCTACATACTTCTTTCAAGCGCAACATAGCACTCCTCAACTACTCAAACCAAGATGAGAATCGCAGATGGTCTGGTACTGCTCCTGGCATTACCCGCTGTCGTAGCCATGAAGACAGCAATCGTCTACCGTGGATCCAGCACTTGCGACAATTGCTCCGAGAGTGTTGGCAGGCTCCTCATGAATTCCCCTTACCACTTCAACGTCACGTATGCTGGACCGGACGAAGAAGTGGACCTCAGCCCCTCTCTTCTCTCTAAAGCTGATCTCTACGCATATCCTGGTGGACCAGGTCAGTACTTCCTAGTCCGATGATGAGAACGTAGTGCGTCTTGACTTTGAAGTAAGCACAAGAGACTAAGAATGATTTCACAGATCTTGACGAAGCTTGGGATGAGCTCAAAACGCATGCGAAGACGATCAGAGAATTTGTCAATGGCGGCGGTCGGTACATGGGCTTCTGCCTGGGGGCTTATCTTGCTGGAAAGTCGGCACTCGATCTTATGCCCAGCGGTATCGACGTCGGATCCGAGATATTGCAAGACAAAGCACAGGTTGACGACGACCGAGATACCACGATTCAAGTCGATTGGAAGTTTAATGCTAGCACTAGCAGCCCGAAGTTGGAGAAGGCTAGATGGGCGTACTTCCAAGAAGGCGCAACGATGCTAGGCTTCAACGACTCTGACCGTGGAATTCTTGCTAGATATTCTGCCAATCAGAATGTCGCTGCCTCAGTCACACCATACGGCAAAGGCTTTGTTGGTCTTGTTGGTCCCCATCCGGAGGCCTATGAGTTGTGGTGTAAGTTGTCCTTCCGGGCTAAGCCCGTAGCCTTGCTAACAATCTCTCAAGATGAAGACGCTGAGATCAAAAACCCCGAGGGCGTCCGAACGGATATCGGATACGACTTTGTGAAATCTACTATTGACGGCATTCCAGCTAGCAGCAATATACCAGGTAATGGTTTCTCTTAAAATGCCGCTCATTAGCAAGCCTCGCAGCTCACGCTGAAGCAGTGCCAGTGATACAAGTGAGCGGCGCCAGCGCTGACAAGGCGCCTACGGCTGTAGTACTTTTCCTGTTCGTATCGTTCATCCTACTATCACGCCTACCCATTAGGCCATGAGAATCTCGATTATAGCGCGCCGATTGATGTCTCGTAGCTTAATTTACCAATTGCATGAATCGTCCAAGTCTTCCTGTGCACATCATTAGCTGGAAGAGTGAACTGTCAAGATGTACATTCGCTGTACTAGCCTACAAACAAACCAAGAATAGCCTCTAGATACCTCGCGAATTCCATCAATCACTAGGTAGCACCTTAACGAACGGTTTTCTAGTGACAATTATCTTTCGATCAATCTGACAAGAGGTAGAATGGATACGCTTTCGACAGTTACATTTTATTATCTTTGCAACAAATTAAATCTACGAAACCAAACAGTACAGGGTCTTCAACTTGTGACTGCTGTTCGTCACCCAGCCACTTCAGGGAGCGCATTTACTCCCACATAATACTGGCCAACACTCAGAACAATCAGGGTCCGGTTCCGGCTCATCCTTGTGGTTCTCGCAATCCGCGCTCTTGTATTCGACGACACAGCCGTAAATCATATGTTCGGGCCCTTGGTTCTCTGCACAATCGCATCCATCTTCATTCGAAGTTCCACCGCAGTCTTGTTCATAATGATCAAGAGCCTTCCGGTCGTCAATCAATGCGACAACTGATATGCGCTCCCTCGTATCCGCATTGAACTCTTGATACAGCACCATGTTTACGAACGGCTTGTTGATGATGGAGAAGGAGTCGCTGCCATCGTGGGCAGATTGGAGGCTTTCAAAGGCGGCGCGACCAATCTGGATCTCGGGGTGTGCTGATAGGAAAGCTTCCAATCTTGAGGGTTGGTTCTCCTGGGTTGGAGCGACAGCCATGGTGGGTTTAGATCGTTGGGTGTCGGTCATGCTTTGAGATGAAGATATTGCGATAGTTGTATTCTTGGTCAGGGCGGTATTGTGAGAGGGTGTCAAATGGAACGAGCAAAACACCTAGACGGTAAGAGTCACCTATTCAACGCTGAATGCCTCGCGTTCTCTTTCGGAGCCCGGTTAGCTCTGCGACCTAGAGCCTAACGCGCATGCTCTTGCTTCGCCCTGCGGATGTACCTACCTAGGTAGTCACATAAATCGGACTCAGCCAAATTGTACACCGTTTAGATACTGTCATGGTTCTACGACCAAAGAAAGGTAGCTCGGCTTCATGCGGACTTTGGTGTGCTTGGCGAGCTGAGCGCTAGTCCCGTTATAGCAGTTGGTGGGCCTGCGCGTATAGGAGACCAATCATATCCTGAGCGAGGCTGCCCAACGCGCAGCGACCAAAGTTCCCGGCTCACCGCGTACGGGCTGGCAGAGCTCCCCCATCGAAGGTTCCCGTATCAACATGCAGAACGTACGCGTTTGACTCAGACTGGAGCCCGGTCCTGCCAATCTCTGGCCATTGAAGTAGGATGTATACGCACTTTTCCCTGCATATACGCGATGCAAAACACGAAGCCACCATCAGGCGCACGGAGGGTTAGAGCCTTCTCCCACAAGACGCGTACAGGCTGTATCACCTGGTAGGTCCGCAGTGTGGTTTGTCGCACCCCGTAACACCTTTTTTACCTAATTCGCCCAGCAAGCAAAGACGGAAGAAATGCGACGAGACTGAACCCACATGTCAAAGATGCACTTTAGCCGGCTTCGTCTGCGATGGCTACGCATCTGAGCCTCTGAAAAGATGGCAGACTTCGAACGCGCCAGTGCTGGCACCAAAGCCTATCCGAACCGTTTGCTCTTCAAGGGTATCTTCGATCCTCGATCTTCCCAGAACGTTGTTGGTACCAGGCCATTCTCTGGAAACCTACTACTACACTCACTTCTTCACCAACACGATTCACGACATGGAGATATCTGAATCTTTGAACAAGAACTTTTGGCAAAAGGCCTTCCAGGGCCCTAGCCAAAACGTCTCGTGTGTACGACATGCAGTCATGGCTCTTGGCGCCGTCCATTGGCAATTCACAACATGCGACCACGACAAGCCATCAAGTCTTGAAGCCTTTACCCTGTCGCACTACAATGATGCCATATCTGTTCTGATACACGGAAGAGGCATTGCGAACGATTCCCCAACCGATCTAGTCACTATCCTGACATGTTGCGCCTTGTTTGCTATTCTCGAGAGCCTACGCGGCAACTTCAGTGAAGCGATTCGGCACATCAAGTCTGGGACAGAACTCATTGCGAACCATAGACCCAGCACATACCTACCCAATCATGAATTCGAGGAACTGGCAGCGATATTCCATGCCATTGGCAGCCAAGTCGGCCTCTTCTCCCAAAACCGTATATTCGCAAACATCACGCCATTCATGGCCCCGAAAAAGAAATATGACAAACCTGCTGGAAAGCTCCGGGATCTCGTCGAGGCGGAAGATGTGATGAACACGTTCGATGATGTCGTCACGCATATCTCATGGGACTTGGAGCAGGATCGGGAGCATACCAACTCCGAGTGCGAAAAGCAATGGGCGATCTTAAAAGAACAATTGCGAGTATGGGATATACAATTCCGGGCCGTGGTGAAGAATTTAGTAGGCACAGCCGAATACGCAAGAAACCTAGAAAGAATTGTCAATCTGAAAATTCAGCACAAACTCTGGGAGTTGCTATTAGCCGAAGGAAGCCCTGCAGTCGACTGCGACAACCAGCCCACTGGGCAACTCGACGCTGTAGAATGCAGTCTCCTCCTCGACGACCTCGATAGCTTGTGGAGCAAGTCGCAACAACCACTCTACGGACTCAAAACGGATCTCACCACGGCGTTGTTCCAGCTATATGTTTTCTGCACTGATGTGGCAGTGCGGCGGAGGATTATTAGTATGCTGCGGTCGCGGAGGAGGAGAGAGATTCTTTGGGATAGTCTGGAGTTGGCGAATTTTCTGGAGAGGGATATGGCTCGGAGGGCAGCTGGGTGCCAGACCGACATCTGGCCCGATATAGGTCCTTCGCCAGATGAGAATGCGCTGATAGTGTTCAGGAGTTAATTATTGTATTGACATGCGTACAGGCTTTGCGAGATAGGCGATGATGGGCATCTCGTACTTCTCGCCATCTGTACTCTCTCCATGTCATGTATACTCGTTCCAATCTGAGAGGACATCCGTATGCGACGACGCATCTACTGCCGCTACAGGTCAGCATCGGGTACAATGAAGATCCCGTCGAGGCTAAATGCGACATAAGTTCTGGAGTCATGATACGCATTGTGATCTACCCACAAACACCCCAAATCAAGAAGAGTAGGCACCTTTGATTCGAATTGGAGCTTGACCTTGCGTCGTGCTAGTTGTTGGAGTTCTACTTCGGTGTGCGGCATGATCGTGTTAGCCTTGAAGTGTGTTGCTGAAGAACCTAACGTTTCCAAATCGGCAGTGCCGATCTTGAGCTAATTCGAGCCGCTAAAGGCAGGGCCCTCAACAACATTGCTGCCTGCGCGAGCGTAACTGTAGCCAATCGTTGGTCTCCTGCATGGCCGAGCACAATGTCTTTGGCAACGCGAGGACCACCATGCAGTATGCATCACATATAAACAGTCAGGAAATACCAATCCTTTGTAATGCTCACATTCAACCCCTTCTGCTACTACCAAACTCACCATCATCATGGTATTCATTTCGCCGCCCTTCGATGTCACATCCCTCACAGCATATCTTGTGGCTACGTTGAACGACAACGAGCTAGCAAAAGTCAAGACAGAATTCGAACACGGCGCCTGCTCTCGATTCCAGCCATCGCTTGAGCTCAAGATCATAAGACCTCCCGATGATTACATCGGCAAATCCCATCAATACATGCGCGCCAAAGAAAACGAAGCAGGCCGAGAATCCCCGTTCGTCGTCATTGACGAAGATGCAGTGAAGAGGAGTGCAGTCTGGTACGTGTATGCCTTTGCCGACGACGAAATGGTGGAAGAGGGACAAGCAGAAAGTACACAAGTGGTCGTGAAGCTCCTTGTGAAGACGGAATGCCTGGCTCTGACGTACATCAACTACGAGATTGCCAATATCGACATCGACGAGGATTTGGACAACGCTGAAGTGGAGCGACCGTTGAAGAATGACTTCTTCCAGCCCTTGGTATCGGATTGCGGTGGAATGGATATGAGAGAGCAACAGCGTGATCAAGATGTGGAAGTGACGGCTGAACCAGATGAATTCGAGGAGACTAGGGAGAAAGCTCTGCTTGCGAACTTTTCTCCCCAGCCAGATAAACTTGGGAAGCTCAAGGACGAGGTTGCGCGGGCTGCTGGTCTGCTCGCAGCGTGGACCTTTGTTGATGAGGCGCAGCCAGTGGACATGCCTGATGGCTCACAGAAGACGTTTCCGGCGGGAAGTGTTGTACTCCAGCAGAAGTACGATCCAGATTTCCCGTGGCCGGGGTACAAGTGGCCAGAGGGTTCATTGTAGCAGTATATGACGACAGATTTGGACATGAGGTGTCTCCGATCAAACGACTAGCTGGTGATTAGCTGTGAAGCAGAAACACCAAACCAGAGCATGATTAGAGAATGAAGTCTTCGGAAGTGGGCTTTACCTATCAAACACCACTTGCACAATAGCCTCCCCGCCGTCCGATAAGTGAACGTAAGTCGGATACTTTTCCGATATACACAACAAACAAATAGCGACGTAGATACGATTATCTCGTCGATCCGATAAATACTGACAAAGCCATGTACATACCTTCCTGATTGAGACTAGTCGCAAGCGTACAACCACTTATCCCCGCGCAACATCCGATAACCAAGACACACCAAGACTCTAACCATCAACAAGCATCACCATGGCGGGCAAGAATTGGGGAACGCAGACGCCTGTTCCGGTTCCGTCGAAGCAGCATAGTCGCTCTTACTACCGTCAATTCGTTGGAAGCG